GGGCCACAGCAGCTCACTCAAGGTGTCTGGGCCATATATATTGTCTTCTGGCCAGCTGAGGCTTGGTGGCATCTGCTCTCCAGCATGATAAAATAAATAAATAATAAATATACAACATATATGTATATAATATAAAATATATAATATATTTATATAATAGATGTAATATATAAATATTTAATAAACAGATATATTTTAAATAATATATTATTAAGATATATGCATATATTATACATATATATTATAAACATTATATATATATATATATAAACATAATGAATAAAATAAAACCAGCCATTCAGGCTGTCCTGCTGCTGGGTGGTCATTCTGCACATCTCCATTGGAAGCTGGTGCTGTGTGATGGGAACCCTCAGGGAAATGGTACATGGTGGGATTTACTCAGCTGATGTCCACAGAGCAGGAATCTTTCAAAGGATACCTCTCATCCACAATTTTGGTTCCTGTGACATGGAAGAAAACTATATACCTGAAGCTGATATATATATATATATATATACACACAATGTCAACCAGTATTTGAGGGATATGCAATGATTTCTAGCTCTAGGTATTAATTTTGCCTTCTGCAGTGATGTGCTTCAGGTTTTGATGAGACTAGTCATGTGCATCTGAGTGTTACTAATGAACCAGCCACTTATTTAATTTACCACATAAATCCCAGCAGGAATTTCTCCTTAAATGCCTGCAATTGTCTCATAGGGAAGTGCTGTCTCCATCTGTTTTCAGAGGTTTCATATTAATTCCTTAAAAACACGAACATTCTATCACCCTAAAAGAAAAATAATTATCAGCTGGAATTAGGTTAAAAAACCCCACCTAAACCTATGTTAAATGGGAAGTTCATTCTTCTTTGGAAATTCAGGAAGAGTGTTAATGAGGTGTTATTAATGCTACATAATTTCTACTGTTGGAAGAGAAAATTTGGGCAGTTCTGTTTTGATTAAGAACATGGAAAAGATCTGCACTAGAGATTGGTTGGGAAAAAAGTGAGAGTAAAAGAGTAATCTAATAGTTAGGAGTAAAAAAAAGCAAAGAAATGAAAAAGTGATTTGTTTTTGTTAAACTTTTGCACCAAACCATTTTTAGTACTAATTGCCTGCGCTGTATGTAAGATATTTTAAGCCACATCTATTTATGGAAATTATTACAGCCCATGCTCAGCAATTTCAGTTTTATTAAAACCTTCTCTCTCTTGCCATGGGCAGAACAGTGCACTGAGCACAGCACCCCTAAGTGTCCTTCTCCTTTCTCAAGGACTCCTCCAATGGTTTCCTGCTTTCCAGAGATTTGCAGACATTTCTATAAATTCAGGTGTCTGTTGCAATGGGATCTTCACTTTCCTTTTATACCTTTTTCCTTCTGGAATCTGACCCGTTTCATGGGAGTTGCCGCTCTCCTCTGCCAGCTGTATGAGCCCTGCTGAGCTCATCCCTGCCAGAGCCTCCCTCGACTCTCCCTTCGTGCCCTGCAGGGATTTTTCTTAGATCTCTTTGTTTTCTTTCCCAGCCAAATCAAATACTTCATGGACGTTTCTAGCACAGCCTTTCTTAACAGCTTCCAGGCTGCCTGCAGGCTTCTCTGGACTGTTCCTTTTGGTGCTTTCCTTTCCTCATTTTCGTTTTTTTTGGGTTTTTTTTTTGAGTTTCAGTACTCACATGTTGAATGCATTTAGTCCCACAAGGTGATTAAACCTAATTGTACTGTCACTTTTACAGAGCAGCTCTCACAAACAGCTTTGGAATTAGGTCCTTTGCACCTAATCCAGGAAGGCAAATGTTCTTGTGGGTGTCTGGACTAGTTGTTCTAAGAATCACCATCTTGCAGCCATAAAAACCTGATCTCTACATCTCCTGATATCACCCACAATCACCCCTCAGCACTTCTTTCCTCAGTCACCTCAAGCAAGGGAATGACCTGCAGAAGATGTGACCTGACCCCTGTGTCCACCAGGGTGGAATTATTCACTGAAAACCTTCTCTAAAGTGTTGTGAAGTATTTGCAGAGGTGTGTGGCAGAACACCTGGGCAGAAACGTGGCACAGCATGTGAGGGGCAGCTGGGTCTGTGTGATGTCACCTGTAGGCAGCTTACCTGGAGCACTGAGTCCAGGTTTGGGGCTCTCAATGTCAGAAGGACATGGAGCTGCTGGAGTAGGTCCAGAGGAGGCCATGGAGATGCTCCAAGGGCTGGAGCACCTCTGCTGTGAATCCAAGTTGGAAGAGCTAGGAGTGTTCACCTGGAGAAGAGAGAAGGCTCTGAGGAGACCTTAGAGAACCTTCCCGTGCCTAAAGGGGAGCCAGGAGAGCTGGAGAGCGACTTGGGACAAGGGATGGAGTGACAGGACAAGGGGGAATGAATGGTCTTAAGCTGCAAGAGGGAAGGTTTAGATTAGATAATAGGGGAAATTCTTGGCTATGAGGGTGGTGAGACCCTGGCACAGGTTGCCCAGAGAAGCCTCAGTTCGCAGGTGCAAAGGACTTTCAAAGCAATAGATGGAAGGAGTAATTAAGGTTTCAACAGCTTGGGCTTGGAGAGCTTGATTATTATTATTATTAATGATTTTTTTTCCTTTGGCTTGGTGCTGTGCAATAACGTCACTGTGCCTGGAGAAGCTGCTACATCAAAATCAGCAGAGATGGCTGATGAGACACCTTCCACTATCGCAGGTTGCTCCAAGCTCCATCCAAACTGGCCTTGAACACTTCCAGGGATGGGGCAGCCACAGCTTCTCTGGGCAATCTGTGCCAGGGCCTCACCACCCTCACCGAGAAGAGTTTTTCCTATTATCTAATCTAAACCTTCCCTCTTGCAGCTTAAAACCATTCCCCCTTGTTCTGTCACTCCAGGCCCTTGTCCAAAGTCCCTCTCCAGTTCTTCTGGAGGCCCTTAAGGTACTGGAAGGGGCTGTAATGTCTCACCAGAGCTACTCTTCTTCAGGATGTACCTTTGTTGGAGGCCTGAGAGTTTTTTTTTTTATCAGAAGAGGTTCCTGAACACCAAAGTCCAGCAGAGAAAAGCACAGCCAAACCAGTGGCTGGAAGGCAGCCAGAGCAACTGGGAGCTGGCAGTGAAACTGGGGAGGGTGGATAGCTCTGGGAATATCTTCTGGAAGGTCTTCTGGTTTTCGCCTTTTCTGCTTGGCATTGTTATGGGGCGATAACAGCATGACCTGTGTGGCGTGGAAATTTATTCCCGGCTTGGAATACAGCCTTTGAGCAGAAGAGGCTGAGAAAAGACAGCTGAGACACCTTGGCGTGGGTTCTTCCCAGGAATGATGATGATGGAGGGCAGGGGGATGAGGTGATGAGGTTCTCACATATCTTCCGTGGGTGACGAGAAGGATCACACCACATTGGGCCTGCATGGACCCTTGCAGCTTCTTCACTGCTGGATTTACAAGCAAGATGGTTCTTCAAAATCCCACCCTCAGCTCTAGGAAAGGCTTTGGTGCCCATTAGAGGCTGAATTGTGCTTTGCATGCAAAAAAAATGGGTTTTCTAGGAATGGGCCATTTGGCAGCTGTGTATTTGCTACTGTGGAGGACAAGGCTCAGAGACAACCAAGGCTGAGCTTCACTTGGCTCCAGAGCCCAATTACACCCTTGACTTTATTAAAATGCTTCGCTGGAGCTGGGCCCAACAGCTCAACACTGTTAATTAATGAAACATGAACGTGGATGTGACGACATTAACCCACTAACCCCCAACCCAACCACCGGAGTTGAAGATGCAAACATGCCAAGTTATGGCAAAAAGCAGTGCTGGACACGGACAGAGATCCTGGGGATGCTCCCACAAGAAGGGATAACCAGGCAAGGACATCTCTGAGCGGTTTGGTGGCTCCTGTTAAGCATCAGACTCTGGGCTTTGTTCTCAGAGTTGCAAAAACAATAGTTAAAATTTAAAAAAAAAAATAAAAAACGTATGAAAGCCCCTGAACACACATACATCCAACAGCCCAGCCAATGTAAAAAGCTTTGGGAGCCTCCTGCAGGATTTTGCAAAAGCAATTACAAAACCTTAGATGATATTTGGACCTAATTAAACCTCTTTTCATGGCTTTTCCTGTAGGGACCTGCTGGGGATTTATTTCCTAAAGAGCATCAGGGATGGAGGCTGCAGGGCTGGGAATTGTGATAAAAAGCAGATGAGGCACATCTCTGTACACACAAGGGCCCCTGGAGCCACCGACGGTTGGGACAGCGTTTCACAAAGGTTTTGTCTTCGGGGTAGGAGGGGGGAAAACAACCTGATTAATTTACGGGTCCGTGCACACCATGTCCCGGCTGCCACCTAGTGCTCATCCCTGCGGCACAGGGACGTGGCGGGCATCGCACAGGGGGACATCGGGGTGGGCTTGTGCCAGTTCACAAGAACCAAGGGGAAATCAGGGTGGGCTTCTGCCAGTGCACAAAAACCTGGGAGACACCGGGGTGGGCTTGTGCTAGCGCACAAAAACGTGGGAGACAGCGGGGTGGGCTTGTGCTAGTGCACAAAAACGTGGGAGACACCGGGGTCGGCTTGTGCTAGCGCACAAAAACCTAGGAGACAGCGGGGTGGGCTTGTGCTAGCGCACAAAAACGTGGGAGACACCGGGATGGGGTTGTGCCCGTGCACGAGAGCCTGGAGGACATCAGGGTGGGCTTGTGCCAGTGCACAACAACTTGGGGGATAGCGGGATGGGCTTGTGCCCAGTGCCCAGTTGCCCCAGAGGTCTCGGGCTGGTGCAGCCCCCGAGGTGTGACGCAAGCACCGTGACGTCACACCGCCCGGCGGGAAAGGGCACTGAGGGAGGTGCCCCTGTGGGGGGAGCGGGCGGGGAGGCACCGGGCTCGGCGGCTCCTTCTTCTTCCTCCTCCGCCTTCTCCTCCTCCTTTTCCTCCTCCTTCTCTTCCTCCTCCTTCTTCTCCTCCTCCTCCTCTTCCTCCTCCTTCTCCTCCTCCTCCTCCTCCTCTTCCTCCCTCTCGTCCTCCTCCGCAGGATGCGCGGGGCCATCCCGCGGCTCAGCCTGGCGCTGCTGGCGGCGGAGCGAGGGGCGAGTGAGTGAGCGCGCAGGATGCGCGCAGGATGCGCGGGGCTGTGGGGAGGCTGCGCCACACCGAAGAGGGGGGAAAGGCGGGCGGGAAGGTGGCAGCGGCCCCTCTACGGCCATCTTCCGAGTCACAGGTCATCCCTGGAGATCGGGGAGTGGGGAATCATCCCTGCGCTCCCGCGGAGGGGGGGAGATGAGCGGTTCCGTCCTCGGGCTGGGAGGTTCATCATCCCTGCGGACCCAGCCGGTCTCTGAGGGGTTTAATATGAAAAATTGGAGGTTTTCTTAACTTTTAAAAATTTTATTTATTTATTTATGTATTTTGGAGACTGAGGTTTTTATCAGAGCCCTTCTTGGGGCTGGGCCCCTCTGTGGCGGTGGCTGTGCCACGGCTGACAAGCCACCGGGAGCCGGCAGCTGGAGATAAGACCGGGACAAGGGCTGCGAACCCCCTCGGTGGCTGGGAGACGGAATTGTGGCGGGAATGGCTTTAAACTGAGAGTAGATTTAGATTGGATATTAGGAAGAAATTCCTCCTTGTGAGGGTGGTGAGACCCTGGCCCGGGTTGCCCAGAGAAGCTTTGGCTGCCCCATCCCTGGAAGTGTTCAAGGCCAGGTTGGATGGGGCTTGGAGCAACTTGGGATAGTGGAAGGTGTCCCACCCCTTGGCAGGGATTAGAACTGGATAGTATTTGAGGTCCCTTCTAACTTAAACTTTTTAAGAATTCTAAGACTGTAGGTGGCACCTCTCAGTTGCTGGGTTGTGTGGCTGTGGCATCCCTCAGCGCTGCTTCTCTGCCCTTCTCCAGGGCTCTGTGCCATCACCCATTACCTTGTCCATGGGCAGCTGGGCTGGTTTGGACTGACCATGGCCTGTGTGGTGCCCGGCTATGCCGCTCAGCTCCTCAGCATCCTCTGGTTCCGGGCGGACGGACACCCACCCAGCTGCTGGCTCCTGGTGCTCCACCTCCTCCAGCTGGGCCTTTGGAAGCGGTGAGAGATGCTCCCTGTGACCCATCCAACCCCCCCAAACCCAGGTGCAGTCCCAAACTTGCCAAAACTAGGGTGGACATCCCAGCACGGTGACTCCTGCAGGTACTGGGATGTTTTGCGGATGGCAGGTGGCAGTGCCCGTGCTGGGGATGTGCTGACACAGCTCGGGGACGTGTGTGTGCTGCAGCTCCTGGAAGCCCTGTTGCAGACCCTGCCTCACCTCCTGCTCCAGGCCTACGTGGCTGTTGACCCAGTGGGCTTCATCCCTGGTAAGCTGGGAGTTCCCAGGAGGATGCTTTGAATTGTATAGGAACGATGCGTTTGGGTGAGGGATGTGTGTGCCCACCTGGCAGGGCACAGGGTGGGCCCTGGGTGAAGGAGAAAGCTGCAAAGGGACTGGGAAGCCTCAATGCAAAGCACCAGGGACAAATGTGGCTGCAAGATCTGCTGTGGCTGAACGCAGAGGAGTTCTGAGCCACCCATGGCTTCTCCTGGCCAGTACAGTCTGTACGAGCAGTATCCATGTGCAGTGTCTTGGCTGGGTGTGAACCCAGCATGTTCCTGTTGGTGGTCCAGCCCTAATCACACTGCAGTGCTGAGCGTTTAGGGCTTTGGGGCTGCTTTGCAGGAAAGGTGAACTTTCAGATGTGCAAAGGGAGAATTTGAGGCACGCAAGGTCACACTCTTGTGTCCATCTCTGGTCTGATGGCAGTGACCAGGATGGAGCTGCCCTGGGGCTGCAGAGATCTACCCATGGGAGAGAGTGGTCAGAGGATTTCCACAGGCAGATGCTAAGCACACAAAGAAGACCAGATTTAGCATAAACTAGTTGAAATATTCCAGTTCCATCCCTGGAAACATTCAAGGCCAGGTTGGACGGGGCTCTGAGCAACCTGATCTAGTGGAAGCTGACCCTGCTCATTGCAGGGGGGTCAGACTAGATGGCCTTTAAGGTCCCTTCCGACCCAAACCATTCTGTGATTCCATGATTCCATGATTCTGTTGGCAGAAGTATGAGATGTCTAACTTGTTTTGGGGTGCCATGCTACCAGCAGCTCCTTGACACTGAGATATGGCCCCACAGCGCAGCTGGGCATCCTTCAGAGCCCTGACTGCCCTGTCCCTGTGCAGGTGTCAGCGCAGGGCTGTCCCTGCTCTCCCTCTCCTGGGCTTTGGCCTCCTACAGCCACTTCACCTGCCTGCTGAAGCCTGGCCACCTCAGCCTGCCGGCCGTGGCCATGCTCTGCCTGCTGCTCTGGAGGACAGGGATGCTGGGGACCAGGGTCCTGGCCCTGGTGCTCTTTGCCAGGCTCTACTCCTTTTGGGTTTTCGCTGTGGCAGGTAAGACCTGAGATCCCTCTTCCCCACATCCCACCCTGAGGTCAGCCCTGCGATGCTCCTGGTGCTGGAGCTGTTTGCAGCCTCCCCCAGGAACGGCTTTGCCCATACAGTCCCTTCTCCTTGCAGGTGTCCACTGGTTGCTCATGTCCTTCTGGCTGGTGGCCCAGCAGACAAATATTGTGGTCCACCCGTGCCACTGGAGGCTGTTTAATGGCCTGGTGGGGGCCGTGTACATCTTCTGCTACATCAATGTCCTACCTGGTCCCTCCAAGACCAGGGTGTCTGTATTTTATGCAGTAAGTACCCAGGGTATTCCTTACTCCACATGGATGCAGCTGCTGGAGAGAAGCTTCAAACTTTCCATTCTCATTTCTCACATCACCACTTGATGAAAGTCCAGTGTGGATAAAAAGCCACATGGTCACTAAGGTGGATGCACCTTCTCTTCTGGTTTCGTGTTTTTAGGGGCAGCCATACAATGTCAGAGTTATTTTTCCTGGTAAAAAAGGGTGGACACCTTGCAGAAAGTTAAGGTCAACAACTTTTATGGTTTAAGTGGTACGTTAGGTATGAAATAAAACAGGGAAAGTGTTCAAAGCCAGGTTAAACGGGGCTCTGAGCAACTTGGTCTAGCGGAAGGAGTCCCTGCCATGGCAAGAGGTTGGAACAAGATGAATTTTAAGATCCTTTCCAACTCAAACCAGTCTGTGATTTTGTAAATTTATGAAAATTAGAAATTGGGTGTTTTCTGTCATCAGAAGCACAACTAAAACCATGAGAAGGATAAAGGTGACGACTCTCTTCCCTCTGCTCTGCAGATAATGCTGATGGAGAACACGCTCCTGCTGCTGTTGGCCACCCGGTTCCTGCAGGCAGAGCTGAGGAACAGCCTGGGTGTGACTGGGGCTGTCATGTCAGGGTCTGTAATAGGTAAGATCTGGGGGGTTTAGAGCCCGGATTGCACATTTTGAGAGAAGTTTGAGTAAATGAGCATCGTCAGTTATTTTAGTTGCATCATACTATTCGCTTTGTTTCTTTGAGCTTTCAGTTTAAGCCATTCCCCTTCCCGTCACTCCAGGCCCTTGTCCAAAGTCCCTCTCCAGCTCTCTTGGAGCCCCTTTAGGCACTGGGAGGGGTTCTAAAGGTCTCCCTGGAGCCTTCTCTTCTCCAGGTGAACATCCCCCAGCTCTCCCAGCCTATTTCCAGAGCAGAGGGGCTCCAGCCCTTGGAGCATCTCCATGCTGACCAGGCTCATGTTTTCCCTGTGGGTTGGGAGCAAAGGGAAGCTGTAATGCCCACGTGTGCTGGGCTTTGTGCATCTCCCCAGACTGGTTACACGCAGATCAGTTGTGATCAAGAAAGGGCATGTTTGGGCTGGAAAAGGAGCAATCCCTCTGCCCTTGGATGAGTTTAAGATAGGACTAGGAAGGAACCTGATGTCTCTACCAGTAGAAAGCACCTGATGTCCAGCACCTTTTCTGCAAAGGGCTTGGTGATCTAGAGGTGGCAGTGAGGTCTGGCCTCTTCTCCACATCTCACCCAAATGCTGCTGGGACTCATCCCTTGACACCTTTCTGCTCTTTTCCAGGTGCCACAGCTCTGGTGGTTTATTACAGCCTGCTCCATCCCAAGTCCACAGAGATCTGGCAGGGATTCCTGGAGACATCCTGCAGTGCTGCAGCAGCGGGTGATGATGAGGTCTCTGGGGAGAGCTCCCAAGCTGGGCAGAGCTCAGGAATTTCAGGAGATGAAGAGTCCTTGTCAGGGGAAGGGACCACAGCGGATCCAAAAACTGGGAACAGCTCATCGCTCCTGCAATCCAAAGGGTGTTTGGAGGACAGCTGGACAAACCATCACCACTGGCTGCTGGTAAAGCTGGCCTTGAAGACAGGAGATCTGTCTGTGATCAACGCAGCCTTCGGAGATGGTGGCGTGGGAGAGGTTTATCCTGGAGGATGGATGATGGGGAAACTCGCCGGAGTTGAGCCTGGGGCAAACTCTTCTCTCCCCATGAGAGACATTGTTCCTCAGGAGGCTGAATCTGGTCTGACAGTGGGGAATGGAGGAAGCATCAAACCCAGCGCCGGCGCTGCAGGAATGGCACAGGAGGATGGAGCAGGGCAGGACCCTGTTTTCCCCCCATCCATATCCCATCCCAGCAGCTTCTCCCCGGATTCAGCTGAGGGCTCCTCTGTGTATTTCACTGCCGTTGCAGGAGGCATCACCTTGCCTGGGACAGGGACAGGCACAGGCACAACAATGTGCGTGGCCCTGGTGCAAAAGGACAATGAAGCCCAGCCTTCTCCAGGATGCCTGAGAGAAGGAGGAGGAGCAGTAGGAAGAGGAGAGGGAGAGGACTTATCCCTTGGGATGGCAAGCATCAGCCCAATCCTGGGCACTTGTGCCCACAAGCACCTGCAGAGGAGCTTTTCCCTTGGCAACACAGGCAGCTCTGGGGTGGCAGGTCCCCCCAACGAGGGCTCAGAGGGGACAGAGGGTGCCCTCATGGAGTGGCATCACCTCTGGGACATCCACCCTTGTGGCATGCAGGGGACTGTCAGGAGGAGCAAGCTGAGGTCACCGTGCTTCACCTCCACCCCCAAGGCTGACCCTAAATGCCCACAGCAAGGACTGGGGGAACTGGGAGAGGGGACAGACCTGTCTGGGTTGCCAGGGTGACCCTGTAAAGGGCTGCACTGTCACCTTGGGGTGACTGTCTCATCAATAAGGCCTGGCAGGAGGTGGTGGGGTGAAGACTGTCCCCGTGATGCCCCTGACACTGGGCAGATGTGCTCCTCCATCACCAGGACATCACCTTCCTTCATGGTGCATCTTCTACTTGCTTTTTTGGAGAACTTCAAAGGTCTTAAAAAGCCCTAAAAGTCCAGGGCTAGTTATTTTTTGACCTTATTTATGTCACAGTCCTGCCAGGCTGCCATTGTGTGCTGCCTTTGGTATATTTGTGACAATGACTTGAACTGTGTCCTTTACCAAGTGCCTGTACAAACTGCTGGCCTGTCCCAGTCTGGAGACCTGGCTGCTGTCTCCAGGCTGCAGTCTTGGCCAAAGCAGGTGTTTTCTCAGGACAAATAAGTGCCTAAACCAGAAAAATTATGAGTTTTATGTCCCTCCTTCAGAGCAGAGTAAGCCCTCAAGTAAGGCTCAGCAGTGCTTGGTTTATCTTTCCCCCACCAAGTTCATCTTGAGACCTTTACCAACTCCATTTTTCAGGGTCATAGATCCTCTTCATGCTGTAGACCACAACCTCAGGACTCTGAATTATAGCCAAGAGCCATGTCCTGCTGCTTGTCCACTGTCCCACTTCCTCAGGTGGCCTTTTCTGCCCAGTCTCCTCCTTGCCCCCTTCCACCCAGCTTCCAGATCATAGAATCACAGAATGCTTTGGGTTGGAAGGGACCTTAAAGCTCTTCTAGGTCCAACCTCTTGCCATGGGCAGGGACATCTTCCACTAGAACAGCTTACCAGGCTATAATCCACATCTGCCTGGATGCTGCCTCCTAAATTTAGCCTCAGGCCAAATCTCAGATCTACATAGTCCTGCCACCATCAAATCCCCAGTGCAGACAGGGTTTATTTATATCAGGAACTAAATGTGTGGCCTCAGGAATAGCCAGTGCTTCCCAACAGGCTGGCTGGGCATGGGTTTGTGCCCAGGACATGGGTTTGTGCCCAGGACATGGCTGGATGTGTTAATTGAGGTGTGGTCAGCTGGATTCACCAGCAAGCTCAGGGGTGCCAGCTGAGGCACATCTGGCCACGTCCTCCAGCTGTTGTCCCGCTGTGGGCAGGACTCCCTCCAGTGATGCCACAGGGCAGGAAAGGCAGCAGGAAGGACACAGGCATGCAATGAATTATTAAAAAAAGCTTCCATGATGCATTCACTGCTCAGGGCTGACCCAGCCAGATGGTTCTCCTGGGCACTGAAAACCCAGTTGGTGCTGGTTATGGAGGGAAGCCACATTCCAATGGGATGAAGGCTCTCTGTCCCCATCCAGATCCCAGCCCTCCATGCTGTGGCTGTGCTCTGCAGGGACAAATCAGTTCCAGTGGCTTTTCCAGAGTCCTCCTCACTGTGTGCATCACACAGAAGGCAGAAGTGCTGCTGGAGCATTACAAGAATTTTTATCTAGTTTGTTTTTCTACCTTTGATAATATATAATTATACTTAAAAAACCCAAACCAGCCTTTGCTGTGTCTGTGTCTCATGTTGGGGGTGCACGTAAGCGATGTGAAATCAGGGCAAATAATATGGATTGTCTGTCCTTAAAGCCTTCCAGCCTGTGTGAGAGGCTTGTTACAGCCAGGGCCCAAGTCCTGCATGCTGGGGACAGTCCCAGCAGTGAGCCACAGGTCTCCACCTACAGAAATAACCTGTATTTAATCACAGAATCACAGAATGGTTTGGGTTGGAAGGGATCTTAAAGACCATCTAGTTCCAATCCCCTGCCATGGCCAGGGACACCTTCCACTATCCCAATTTGCTCCAAGCCCCATCTAGGGCCTTGGACACTTTCAGGGATAGGGCAGCCACAGCTTCTCTGGACAACCTGTGCCAGGGCCTCACCACCCTCACAGGGAAGAATTTCTTTCTAATATCCAATCTAAACCTCTTCAGTGAATTTTAAAGCTCTGTTTGAAGTAGGAGGACTCCAGCAGCACATCACATCTCTGGATGTCCCTCCCCACCCTTCCCATCTTTTGGGGGGGGCAGAACTGAAGATACCCAAATGACCTGGTGCACATGCAGATTTTTCCCAATGGTGCCAGAGGGGAGAAACGCTGGGGAGGTGTTCCTCTCAAAATCTCGTTCATTTGCCACCAGAGGGAGATGCTGCTCAAGGTCCAGAGGCTGCGTGCACATCCAGTGCCTGTTCTAGGAATTGCAGAACCATCCAGGTTGGGAAAGTCCTCTAAGATCGTGGAGTCCAACCGTTCCCCCAGCACACTCAAGGCCATCACTAAAATATGTGCCCAAGTGCCACATACACATGGCTTTTAAATCCCTCCAAGGATGGGGACTGGAGGGGAGAGGGACTGAGGCTGCTATGGCATCGCAGATGGGAGCTGGTGAGAATGAAACAGGGAGCTGTGGGATAGTGGAGGTGGCAGATACAGTGCACAGCAAGTGCCTGGAGGAATGAGACCATGGCTGTGGGAGTCTTCTTCTACCTCCCCAGGCATCAGTGGGCCATGGGGAAAGTTTGGAAACCCCTGCCAAGAATTCAGTGCTGGAAAGTCATCCAGATATCTGCAAATATCCCACAGTGACTTCAGATCCAAAGGTGTGTGTGCAAGGGGAGGTGCCACTGACCACACTGAATGCAGGAAGGGAACCTGTTGGTTTGGTAGAACCAGCTCCAGCTGTCAGCACCATGATGCTGAGTCCTGATTTCGGTGGTGTATCCCTGGAGCTGTGCATATGTGCCTGGGGGGTGACAGGGTCACTCCCCACTCTGGTCTGTCTTCACATCAACCCACGGGGTGCAGAGATCCCCCAAATCCCATGTCACAGCTCTGTGTGGAGCAACATGGCCCTGGGCCAGTCCAAACCCAGGATGAGAAAGTGGAGCTGGCAGAGGGGCAGAGGGGAACCAGCTGATGAAATCTCAAAGTGCCCCAAATGCTTGAGGAGACCCAGTCAGACCCTCTGCTCCTTCTGCAGCATTTCCCATGAAGCTCTTTTTGCATGAGGCATGTTATGCTGAGCTAGACTGGGATCTGCCCAGCCTTTTGGGATACACACCACCAACTTTTGGGCTTCAGCCACTCACAGAAGGGCTGGAACGAGGGGATATTTCCATCCCACTGCACTTAGATTATCCAGTGCTTTTCCCTGCTCTGGAATAGAAAATTTCAGCTCATTTGCTTCCTATAACCTCTTTTTTTCCTTTTTTTTTTTTTTAAAGAAACCCTCTCCAGCACTTTGGACGCGAAGGGTCATGCCCCAGCCCAGGAGAGCTCAGTGCCACTCATGAGAGAAGGTCTCAAGGGCAACACAGGAGCAGGGAGCAGGAACCAAGAGTGAATTTTGACAATGAAGGGAGCGACCTGCAGGTTCCCCAGGAGAACTGGCCATGCCACTCACCAGCGATCTGGAAAAAGGCAGGAACAGAGGCTACGTCCCTCAGAAATTACACAATACCCAGGTGAGTCTGGGCTTGGGGACGTGGCTGCTGGCACCATCCCCTTGGCTTGTTTTTAACAGGTCACCCTTGTCCCTCTGTCAAGGTAAAATAAAACAAAGCAGGATGGAAAGGTACAGACAGGGCACGAGGCTGGCAGCAGCCCTGCCCCAGCCCTGCTGGGATCTCACCTTCCAGCAGCACTGTTTTCCACCTCCCTCTTCACCTGGATTTCTGAGCACAGGTTTTGGGGTGGGAGAAAAAACATTCCTTCCAGCTCCAAGATGATGTAACCCCGCCCCTGAACTAGCTCAGGAAAGATTTACCCAGAAAAACTATCTTTTCACTTCCAACAACATTGAAACACAATACTTGGACATTACTGACAATAGAATTCTTTGCCCTGGGGGTTGTTGTTATCTGTTTTTTTTTCCCAAGCTGAAACTTTGGTTATTTTTCCCCTCCTTAATTAAATTTGGTTTGCTGCAAACCCCTTTTTGGTGCCTTTAGTGTTCCTGTAAAGGAACAGGGCCCAGGCTGCAGCTTTGTGCCCGTGGCTCCAAGGCTAAACAATACCACAGAGGGGGGGAGTGGAGGGTAAACCCAGCTAATCAGGACTTGCCTAATAGGACTGAGTGCCTAATGAGGAGCCAGGGACTGTGCTTCCCGGGCTGGATTTGGCTGGAGGAAAATGCTTTGTGGTCTCAACACCAGGTTTGAGATGGCTCAGTTCCCTCCAACGTGCTGCAGGAGCGTTTTCTCCCTCCTGTGAATCCATCCTCAATGGCCACAGGGAGGATCTGTGAGGGATCCATGGGGACCCAGGGGTGTTGGAGGAGCTGAACAAGATCCTGGAAGCAAAAGGATACAGTGATTCTTTTGCTTGAAGGGAGATCCTTAAAATCAAAGCCCTGTTTGTGCCTTAATTTTCCTAAGCAAAGCCACCGAAGGGCCCTGCCTGCTCCCCTAAGCTCCACGAGGAGCTGGGGGATATTTTAGAGATTGGCTTCAATAAATAGCAGCGAATATTCCACTGCTCTGCCCTGGAGACCCATCTGGATTGTCTCCATCTGTGCTGCTACACCCCAGCCCCAGCCAGGGTGTGGGTTTGCGAAGGGCGTGGGGTAGGGAAGGCACCACATGCCTCAGGCCTCTCATTGGTTAATAGGGAGGGAGATTTGGGGTTCAGTGCTGAGGCTGTGGGGTGCAGAGCTGGTGGGTAACTGGGGGGTGTGGGTGCTGGGACACAGGTTGGTGGCTGGGCGTGCACAGAGAGGAGGGTGTGGGTGAGGGCCCAGATGTGCACAGTAGGTGGGTGCAGCTGTGGGAGGGTGTCTGGACATAAACAGTAGGGTTCAGGTGTGGGTGCACATCCAGACATGCACAACAGGTGGGTTCAGGCGTGGGTGCACATCCAGACATGCACAATAGGTGAGTTCTGGTGTGGGTGGGTGTCCAGATGTGCACGGTAGGTGGGTGCAGATGAGTCTGTGTGAGGATGGGAGGTGGGTGCTGAGGCCAGTGGGTGCTTCTGTTCCCTGTTGAGAGCCAGGGCGTGCATGGGGCAGCCAGGGACCGAGGCTAGGGCCTGTACCGGTGCTGTACCGGTGCTGTGCCAGTGCAAGTGCTAGTGTTGAGTCTGGATTCGGGTCCGGGTCCAGGCTCTCGCTCCCGTGCCGGTTCCGGGCCCGAGTCTATGCCCGTGTTCAGGTCCGGGTCAAGGGCTGTGCCGAGCCGGGGCAGGGGCTGGGTCCGCATTCGAATCCATGCCCAGGTGCAGTGCCGGGTCCGTGCCCGTGTCTGGATCCGGGATTGGGGCTGGGTCCAGGGCGGGGTCCGAGTCCTTGCCCGGATCCGGTGCCAGTGTCGGGGCTGTGTCCGTGTCTGGCTCTGTGTCCGGGTCCGTGCCCTGGTCCGAGTCCGGGGTTGTGCCGGTGCCGGTGCCGATGCTATGCCAGTGCTGTCCCGGGGCTGTACCGGGTCCGTACCCGGCTGGGGGTCCGGGGCGGGGTCGGTGCCGGGTCCCGGTCTGTGCCGCATCCGTGTCGGGTCCAGGTCCGTACCCGGCTCGGTGCCGTGCCGGGGCGGGGTCGGTGCCGTGCCCGGTGCTGTGCCGAGTCCGTGCCGTGCCGAGGCGGGTCCGGGGTTGTGCCCGGTGCTGTGCCGGGTCCGTGCCCGGGGCTGTGCCGGATCCGTGCCGTGCCCGGGGCTGTGCCGGGGCCGTGCTCGGTGCTGTGCCGGATCCGTGCCGTGCCCGGGGCTGTGCCGGATCCGTGCCGTGCCGGGGCTGTGCCGGGTCCGTGCCGTGCCGGGGCGGGGGCGGGGCCGGGGCCGTGCGGGGCCGGGCGGGCGCGGGGAGGGCTCAGCGGCGGCGCCTGCGCGGGGCCGTCGCGGAGCTCCGCGAAGTTCCGCGGGGCCCGGGGAAGTTTGGGCTCGGCTCGGCTCGGCCCCGGCCATGGCCTTCCGCCGGCGGGCCAAGAGCCACCCGCTCTTCAGCCAGGAGTTCCTCATCCACAACCACGCCGACATCGGCTTCTGCCTGGTGCTCAGCGTCCTCATCGCCCTCATGTTCGAGGTGAGAGCCCCCCCTCCATCCGCATCCCCCTTCCCCGCCGGGGCCGGCTGTGTGTGTGTCCCCACCCTGTGGACCAGCTGACCCACCCAGTTCTGCACGGGGTGTCCCCCCCCGGGGCTGTCTCGGCTCAGGGGGGTCCGCACCCCGGCCAGGAGCCGCCATCCCGCTTGGGGAGGGGGCTCTGCGGTGCGGGACCCCTCCGTCTGGGGGGGCACAGCGCCGCCTCATTCATTCCCTGTATCTCACCCACCACCAGAGAGGTGTGTGTCCCACAAATTCCTTTGGGGACCCAGCCTGGTGCCGACTTCTGGAGTGGCACATCCTTCTTCCCCTGCTCCAGCCCTGCCCGGGGTCCCTGGTTTGGGAAGGGGCAGCACAGGGAATGTCAAACCCCCTTCTCCAAACCCACCGCTGCTGCAGGGATGTCCCAAGCACTGAAGTGGAGTGCATCAGCCTCACACAGAGAGAAACCAAGCCCTGGCCGATATTCCCAGCTCTTGGAAATGGGAAGAATTTTTTTTTGCCTTTTTTTTCCCCCATTTTTTCTTCTTCTTTAACATTAGCCCTTTTCCAGGTATTTTCTCCGCAGCCAGCGCCGTGGGACGAGCACCGGGGGCTCCTGGGCCTCGGGCAGGACACCAGCGGCTCCCTGGCCTTTCCCCATCCTGGCCATCCCACCTTGGGCCATGAGAAGGCATCCCCGCTCCTCCATGGGATACCTTCACCCGGAGCCCCCCCGGGAATGCCGCTGTCCCGCCAGCGCCATGCCCGGAATGCCGCTCTCCCCCTGCTCCGGCTCCTTCCCTCCCAGCTTGCTTTTTTCCCTTCCCTCTTCTCGGGGAGGAGACGGGAGAGCAGGAGGCCGTGTGGCTTCTCTTGGCTCCGGGAACCCACGGCCGAGGCTGCGAGCCCGTGGTCAGCGGCACAGCCGGGCCGGACCCCCCCTCTTCCCCCGCTGAACCCTCCCCTCCAGCGCAGTGCCACGTTTCAAAGCAAATCCGGATGGGAAAGGGGTGGCCGGGGGGCCTGGCGGAGGAGGAAAGGCTCCTTCTTGCAGCAAATCGCAGGAGGAGGAAATCCATTTCCTTAATTCCCTCCCGCTGGAGCCCCCCTTGCTTTTCTCTTCCCCCTTTCCTCCCCCCCCCTTTTTTTTTTTTTTTGCTGCGAATGCTTTGAATGAGCGAGTGGCTTCCAGCACTCAAATCCCCTTTTGATGTGCTTGTGCATATATATATATACATATATATATATATTTATTTAAGGGTTTCAAAACTAGCCCAAGAGGGCCAGCTGCATTCCAAAGCCACATGCAAATGATGCAAAGTTGGGCTGCAAGTTTCATTGTGGTACTTGAAAAAGAAAAAAGTCGGTGAGGTGTCGTTTCTATCTCGGGGTTTCTCCCTGCAGGTGGTTTTTTCGGGATGCTGGTGCCTATGGTTGCATGTCAGGAACCCCGTCCTGGAGAGGTGGTAGCTGGGCTTGGGAGTGATTTTGGTTGATGTGATGCTCTGAGGATGGTTTGAAATGTGATGAACCCCCCTGTGGAGGTGCCAGCAGGGAGGAGTTTGTGGTGTTCCTGATTTTTTTAGTGTCTTTTAATTAAATATCCCTGGGATGCTGAAGGCAGCAGTTTGCTGCTCTCCCCGCAGACCTCAGGGAGACGGTGCTCGCCGTACTGGGGTGGGTTCCAGTGCTCCCTGTGCACTGCCTGGCTGCATCCCCTCCTGGCATCATCACAGAATCACAGAACCATGGAATATGCTGAGTGGAAAGGGACCCATCAGGATCATTGTGTCCAACTCCTGGCCCTGCACAGCACAGCCCAAGAATCACACCATGGGCCTGAGCATGGGGTTTGAGACAGCTCTTGTTCCTTGTGGGTATTTTATTTTATTTTATTTTATTTTTATGGTTATTTCTTCTGCTTTCTTTTCCTCTGGAGGAGAAATCAGGCTCTGCTCTTCCCTAGCCCTCCAAACCACCCATGCCCATTTGTGCCACCCCTCTACAGTGATTTTTGGTGGCAGCTCGGATATTTCTGCCTTTTGACACCTTTTCATCTCCTCCTTTGCTGTGGTGAGGAGGACACGTCACTGTCCCTTCTTCTCCTTTCATCCCTGCTTCCCACCCCACAGCTGGGCTTCCACCTTCCTGATGCTGGTGGCCACAGCCAGGCTCAGGCTCAGCGGAAGCGGCCGAATCCTGCTCACAATAGGCCGTTTCCTGCAGGGGAGGTTTCTTTGGGAAGACACAAATAAGATTTTTAACCTTTTCCCAGGCATCCCCCAGGAGCTGAGTGCTTCCTTGCTCCAGCACCCTGCTCAGGATGATGCTGGAGGGCTGCTGGGTGTCTCCCTTTCCCCAAGCAAGGTGCACCCTGAGTATCCTTTTGGGTGCCCAACCTTTCCCCTCCAAACAGATTCACCAACCTGGGAATTCCTCCACAGCAGGGAGCAGGTACATGATGGGATTTGGGGGCACAAAGTGTGGCATGAGGCTGCTCACCGGTGTTATGAGTGTGTTGGATTTGATTATTCCAGTGTTTCAGATGATCATAGCATTGCTCAGAGAGGGAAATCCCGGGCTTGGAGGGGGTTTCCCTAAAAAGAGCTGTCCAGAGCTTGGCACTATGCAGTGTTTTTCATTCCCAGCCTGCCTTAAGCCTTCAGGGTGTGAAACACACCTGGTGTATGTCTGTGTGGTGCCAGGGAGGGATTTTGCCACGTGTGTGTGGCTGCTGGAGCACAGAAAGAAAAGCCTCCTCTTTTTTTTTTTTTTTTTTTTTGGTGAAAAACTATTTTCAGTGATAGAAACGTGAAACAGGTGCTTCCCATCCTCCTACAGAAATGGCTTTGCATGTATTTTTCCACCCTGCTTTGCAGAAAAATGAAGCCAAGGCCAGGCTGGGGTTAACCTGCAGCTGGCTGGTGACCTGTGTCCTGTCTGGGGTGGGTCAATCAGTGGGTTGAGTTTGGGGAAGACCTCACTGATTTTGGGCAAGTTCGTGTGTTAGATGGGGACTGCTGCTGCAGTCTCTAAAATGGGGAAACTAAAGCTCAGTTTTACGCATGGGGTGATGATAAGAAAGTGATAATAGAGTTAAAAACCCATTGTTTTATAAGAGCTGCCGTGGCCTTGCTGGGCTTTCCCCTGTGGGCAGAGTGTGAGTCACGGGCTCCCAAACTCTGGGTTGTGACACTGTCAAACGAAGGCGGCTGACGAATGAGCTGCTATTTCCAGGCTTCCTGCTAAATATACTTCCCCCTTCCTGGTCCCCTCCGTAGTACTCTAAAAAATTAAGGCCTTCTCGTTGTTAATGCGGGAAAACAAAACATGTTTCTGCCTCCCCTGGTCGTTGCCAGATGTGGGAGCTGAGGCCATGCGGGCGGCGTTAAGGGCTGGATAGTTGGGGAAGAAGGGGAAAAAGGGGGGAAAAAAAGCAGAATTTAGGTTTAGTTTTAAAAAGGGAATAAACAGGAGGGACTGTGAGGCAGTGAAAATCATGCTGTGCTGAGGGATGAGCGTGTCTGCGGGAGCAGAGGGGCTGCGCCGCCCTCGAAAAGGGGTTTTTGTCACAGCCAGATGTTTACTTTTAAAGGCTTTGGTCCAAAGTTTGGGCTTTAGTTTACATATAGGGCCTGTGTCAATCCATACCGTGGGTCAGCAAGTTTGTCTTTCAAACTCTGACTGGTTGGGGGAAAAATACCCCCATATTGTGAGAGAAGCCTTCGGACAGCGTTTTATCTGTAATTAGTTTGAGCTGTTTTTCAAGCCCTGGAAATATTTTCCCAGCTCTGACTGCAGAAACTCCCCCAGCCTCCCCCACCAGAGGCTTGGAGCTGCTTCCTTCCTGCAAAGTGATTTTAATTCAAGGAGGACTGTGGGGCAGGCAGAGTGCCTGGGGGCTCCTGGCTGGGGTAGAGACAGCGACTGCAAATCCCACTAGGATGAGGCTTTTGAGAAGGGAAACAGGTTTTATAGAATCCCAGAATGGTTTGGGTTGGAAGAGACCTTAAAGATCATCTCATTCCATCCCCTGCCATGGGCAGGAACACCTTCCACTATCTCAGGTTGCTCCAAACCCTGTCCAGCCTGGCCTTGAACACTTCCAGGGATGGAGTGTCCACGACCCCTCTGGGCAAGCTGTTCCCCGAGTTCATAGAGTGTCTGGTAACTCTCTGTGAAAGATGCTCAAAAATTATCCCTCGTTCCTGAAGATATTGGTGTTTAGTTGCAGCAGGTAGATTTTGGGACAGGTGCTAAACTGCCTGGATGCATGTGCTTAAATCCCTTTATTAAAAGCCACTTGCTTATCTGCACAAGTGTAATTGGGATTTGGGTTTGGACTCTTGGAGCCTTTTATGGCAGGGAAAAACCAGCATTTTTTAAATTGCTGGATGGGGCTTGGAGCAACCTGGTCTAGTGGAAGGTGTCCCTGCCAATGGCAGGCGGTTGGAACAAGACAATCTTTAAGGTCCCTTCCAAACCAGGCTGTTCTGTGATTCTAAAAAAGAGTAGGGAGAGCTTTGCTGCTCTGTATTAAACAGCAATTTCCAGGATGGTGGGTTTTTGGATTTTTCCAGTCACCACATTATCAGGAGTAGATGCCTGGTGGTAGATAGTAGATGCATAGTAAATAAAGATGCATAGTGTAGTAGTGCTGGGATTGTTTGGCTTTATCCATTGCTCTGCCATCAAGGGCTGTGAGGTGGATGTGCTGGTTTGATTTTTAGCCATGAGAAGCAGCCTCATCGCTGTCCTGAGCATCACAGGAAACTCTGGTCTTGATGGACACGTGGAGTTTTCTGTCTTCACCATCCGTCTGCCCTTTGGTTCTCACATTAGTGGCTTTAACCACCAGAAACCCACTCACTGCTGAGGATGCTGTTCCCTCTGCATGACTGTAGAGAGCTCCCAGGACAACTGCTTCCCAAATTTACTTGGTTCAGGCACATAGAATCATAGAACTATTAAGGTAGGAAAAGACCTCTGAGTTCATCGTGTTCAACCCAGCTCTGCCAAGCCCATCACTAACCTGTATCCCCAGTTACCACATCCCTCATGCAAGGCAGGATGAGAAGCATCTCCCTCTGTGTAGAGATGCCCTTAATGACGGGCAAGGAGCAGATGAGTGGTGGATGAGGAAGGTACAGCCTTTCCTACATGGTCCCTGCTCTGTGCATTCCATGGAGAGAAACCCCTCTCCCACCCTATAAAAAGTTGTGCAGGGGAAGGTTTAGGGATTTTAATAGCCAGTTGGATATTGGGGAAAATGTCTTCACTGAAAGGGTGCTCAGGAATTGGAACAGGCTGCCCAGGACAGTGGTGGAATCACCATCTCTGAAGTGTTCAGAAAACATGTAGACGTGACACTTGTGGACATGGGTTAGTGGTGGGCTTGGCAGTGCTGAGTTCATGGTTGGACTCAGTGATCTTAGAGGGCTTTTCCAACCTAAATTATTCTATGATTCTATGAATTCCACTTCTGCCAGCAGCAGTTTGGTGGCAGCTCTGGTTGTTCTCCTGCCCTGCAGGGCAGGAGCATGCCTGGCACTTCCTTTCCCATACCAGCATCTTGTTTCAGAACAAACAGGCAGCGAACGTCTTGTGCCTCTGAATAATACTCATGTTGCTCTTCCCGTTCCAAACTTCTGCTTTCTCTGGCTGCCTGTGAAATGCTCAATGCAATCCCTAAAGCTTTGCCATCCCTGGTGCTCGTTGCTCCTTCCTAAGCCAAGGAGACCTGGTTTCTGCCTTGCAGGGGAGCTGGAGGTGCCATTGCTGGAGGTCACGGTTCTGGCATTCCCTGTTTTCCAGGAGGCTTAAGCTGCTCCGTGGTGTGTCTGGGACTATACACTACTCAGGGCTGTGTAGCAATGGGTGCACCATGGGTGCTCCCAGTTGATAAAGTTGACGGGATACTGAGGGGGTTATGTGGGAATTTGAAGCTTGATGTTCACTTGCTGGAGCTCAGCCATGACCTCGGTCAAGTCCCCTGTCCCTCTGTGCCCGCTGGCAAGGGGCATGTCATGAGTAACATCAACAAGATGCAGGTCCCCCCATGGATGTGCAGCGTGTCCCTCACCTTCCAGATGGAGGAATGTAGCAGTGTCCTGCTCAGGGTGGTTCATCTCATGTGTTTCATGCTCCATCTGCTTCTAGAAGCAATGACTGTCTGAACCAAGATGTCCTTGTGGTGGTGCCTGGAGGGGGAGGCTCCCTGGCCAGGTGTGTGTTTCATAGTCTGTGTGAACACTTCCCAGCTGGTTGCAGGAGAAGGAAATGCCTTTGGTGCCTTAGAGGAGACCTTCCCTCCATGTAAACTCTGTAAGATGGGAAGGTTGGATGCCTGGAGTTCATATTTGGCCGCTGTAGCACTTTAGTGAGTGGCTGCAGGTTTGCCTGGGCTCCCCCATCTGTCAAATGGAGCAGACAAGCAGTTTGTCCTTGGAAATCGGTCTGTCAGGAGCCTGCCTGTGTCCAGGAAGTTACATTTATCTTTGGCAGTAAAATGTTTTACTTAGACTTTAGAAAACGACTCACTACCCCTCTGTAATGAAAGGTGAGGGGGTGCAAAGGTGATATCTGAAGCTGCTGGTGGTCTTCCAGCCTATAGGAAGCAAAGGCGAGTGTGGAGATGGGACAAAGCATTGCTTGATGCTGGACTGGATGGATGAAACCATCACCAGGCCCTCTAGAAAAGAAGATTAGGAGAGTCCTTGCAAACTGTGTTGGGGCTGAGCACTGTGCTGGCTTTTCTTCCCACCTCGGAGATACTCCAGAGTAATTTTCTTGGACTTACAAGTCTGGCCTGTGGCCCCTTCAGCAGGTTAGGAGGCTTCATCTGGAGATGATGTCTTCTTTCCAGCTGTTTATAGCTCTGGATGTCAGCCAGGTACTTGGGTAGCTGTAAATCCTTCAGTGCCTGCTGCCGTCAGCACTTCCATGACACGTCCACCCATCTCTGCAGCATCACGGCCACCACCGGCTCTGTGTGTTTGTATCATACCCTGCGCCAGCTTGTGGTGGGGTTTGGATGTGAAGTCCAGGTCCTGGATGTGCTGTACCGCTCTGGGATGAAGCAACTTGGCTTTCCTGGCCAGCAAGGTCTGTAAGAGCCAGCAGTATCTCCTTAAGCCAGCTGAAGGCCGGGCGATGCGCTTTTTCCATCCCCACCCCAAACTCTGCCCGTGGTCTCCATATCCTGCAGCAGAGCCTTTCTTGCATCTACTCCTCCACAGAAAGAGCACAACATGTGGGATTTCCTTTTTTTTAAGTGGGAAAAAAAAATTAAATCCCCAAACATCCTGAAAAGATGCTGTGGAGTTTTCTGTCCCTCGCCTGTGCCAGCAGAGCAGAGCCACTGGCTGGTTGCTCCATGCTCATGGGGGCAGAATGGGAACGCTTGGCAAAGCCCCTGTGTCCCCCCCACAAGCTGTGGAGCAATTTCCAGCTGGGATTTTAATAGCCTGCAGCTCTGGAACAGTGGTAGCTAGGTCTGTGTGAAATGCAGCTCATCTCCATCGGTGTTGGACGGGCATGGGATTTTTTGGGGCTGCCTGTGTATGAAGGTGGGTGCTTGCAAAGCGTTGGAGGGTTGGCTGGGAGCCCTTGGAAATGTGACCTGCTGCCACTGTGGGGTTGGATGGGATGAAGACACATTTGCTGTCAGATGTCTGTGCACTGAGCTGTGGTCCCGGGCTCGAGGGTGTGTTGGTCTCATCCTGTGGATGCACTGGGGTGGAATGCTGTGCCCCATTCCCACAAACCCTCCTGCTTCATTGCTGGGAAGGATCATTCCCTTGAATTAAAAGCAATTTAGACAGGACCAGAGAGAACAGCATGAAGCTGTTTCTGGAGAGGTTTAGGCTGGATATCAGGAAAAAGTTCTTCCCCCAGAGGGAGGTTGGACACTGAACAGGCTCCCCAGGGAAGTGGTCATGGCCCCAAGGCTGCCAGAGCTCAAGGACCTTTTGGACAACACTCTCAGGGACCTGGTGGGATTCTGGGGGTGTCCTGTGCAAGGCCAGGAGTTGGACTTCAGTGATCCTTGTGGATCCCTTGCAACTCAGGTTATTCCATGATTCTATTCTGTGATTCAATAAATGAAGAGTGAGCAGCACAGCCCTGGTTTGCAGGGGCCCTGATGTGTCATCCCAGGCTTTTTTATTCCTTTTTTGTACATGCATCTGGAATCTTGTGGGTAACTAGTGTGAGGTTCAGCATGTCTGTCAAAGCTGCTTTTCCCCTGCCCTGCTGGACCTTCATGGATGCCTGCATGGACCCTAGAGGGGTCCAGCCTCACCAAGTGGAGGAGTCTCCACAAGTATGTGGAGCTAAATCCATGTGTAGCCAGTCCATAGGGCTTTGCAGCCTCTGAGTTTTTCATGTGTGGGTGCTGCCATCCCTACTCAGGCTGGATTCCCAGTGTGGCTGCCCAAGTGGATGGGAATGAGGGCTAGTTTTAATTAATGCAAATAGCCAGTTGGGTCAGTTCCCAGTGTCCCTTGAGCAGCAGGTCACATGTGAGGATGGTCCATGCTCCTGGAGGGATGCTCCCTGTCAGGTTGGCTCATGGCTTTTCCAGCTATGTTGTTTTTCCAGGTTTCTCCCTCCTTTATACCTCTCTTTCTCCTTCCCAAATCCCAAGTTTCTGTTGTCAAACCACTTCCCTTGCAATCTCCTTGCTGAAAGATGTTTCTGCAAGTGAAGCAGGTGCCTGTACATCTCCCTGGACAATTTACCTTTCCCTTTGTGGTAGGAAAAGAGAGTAAATGGTGGCAGAGGAATGGAATCAACAGCTGATTTGCTTTTTTCCCCCTCTGTGTGTCTTTTACAGGTCACAGCCAAGACTGCCTTCCTGTTCATCTTACCTCAGTACAACGTTAGTGTGCCTACAGCAGGTAAGAGATGCCTCTGCTCCAGACACCCCAAGGGGAGGATTGAGTCGTGGTCTGTCCCAAATCCTCTTTGCCAGCTGGCCCGGGCTCACCCTGTACTGATCACACTGCCCAGGCTCTTGTCTGGTGGTAAAGGAGATGTTAAAAATAAGATATTTTGGGAAGAAGCAAAGTTTGAGCAGCTCAGAGCACTCTGATCATGTCTGCCAGCCTTCGTGCTGCCAGGGTTGGGAAGAAATGCTTTCCAGGGGGTTTTGGGGCTTCCTCTGTGTTTCTGCCATGGCCAGGCTGCTCTGTGCTCCCTGCAGGGTGAGGATCCTGCTCCAAGCCCAGTCAGGCAGGATCAAACTGCCTGATTGCATGCCTGGAGTAGCTCCATGTCCTGCTGAGGAGTGGGAGGGATTTACCTCTTTGCTAAGCAGCAGGGGCTGCACAATAGTTCCTGCCTTGCTGATTTTTGGAGGGATGGAACAAGGTGAATGTGTGGAGGTGCACGTGGTGCACAGCACAGGGCAGGTTATGGGCCTGGTTCACATGGAGTAATTTGAGGAGGCTCCGAGGTGGTACAGCTCTGAACCAAACAGACCAGAGGATGTGCCCCAGCTGCCAGCCAGGAGGCAGCTGGAGGCTCGGCCCCTGTTCATATTTTGGCTGCTGGTTGCTACCTTCCTGGCCCAGAGCCCCTCTGGATCTGGCAGCGATCTGGGCACTGGCGTGGAGACAGCAGGAGGTGGTTTGGGTAAAGCTCAGGATGAGCCAAACGCCCGGGGCACAGAGCCTGGCTTGGTGGCAGAAAACTGCAGTTAATTGGGAGTGTTTGAGTAATCATCCAAAGAGCAGGGTGTTGGGATTAGTGGGACTACAGTGAGGCAGACATGCGGAAGATAAAAGCTCTGCCCTTAAAATCTTTGAACGTTGAGGCTGAAGAAGTCATCCAGCTCCCAGATTAAATTGGTCTGTGCTCCCCTATGGCACAGTCCAGACAACTTCCTGCTGGTTTTTAAGGGATTTATTGTTTCCTGATGCCAGAAAACTCAGGGAGGGCACAGAAACACCTCACCAGAGCCAGGTAATGGGGTTTCAGTATAGAGCATGAGGTGGCTGAGGCCTCGGGGAGAGAGACCTTGATGCAGCAGCTTGTTTGGAGGAAGGGTTATTGCTCATCTGAATTTTTCCAAGGCTGTTTCACATCCCTCACAGCTCCTGCTAGAGCAGCTTCTGAGAGAGGAGAGACGAGGCAGAGCAGTTGCACATGTGCACGATATTATTTTCTTGGGACTTGCAATTCAGTCTTTTGCCTTGCTGTGGGATACAGGCACCATGTTTACCTCTGGGCTTGCACAGCACCCAGCCCAGGCTTCTATAGACAGGGTGTTTTCATATCCTTTGCCAGATGTTTTCATAAATCCTGTTCAAATCTTAAAAATCTGAACTGAAGCTTTGCTCAAGGGTAAACAGGGCTGGTGACAAGACGCTTTCTGCAGTGCACCACAAGGACAGCAGCTTTCCTAAATCTGCTTCTTCCCCATAAGCTGCAGGGCTGCAAATAGTCACCTAAATGCAGCTGTCTGGGGTATTTTGGGTGCTGTTGGGTCTCCCGTTGCTCCAGAGGAGCATGGCCTCTCGTGGGTCCTATTTCTCATCCTCCATCCCCTTGCTGCTGTCTCAGATCTCTTAATAGCACAAGGCATCTGCATTTCAGCAGCTGAATCCTGCTCCAGCAGCTTTCAGGAATGTGTGGAAGGGACTGGATACTGGATCATAACTGAGGGGGTGGAAATGCCATCCTGAGCCCTCATGTTCCCAGTGGGGCATCTTTGATCCCATCACCTACTTCAGCCTTCCATGTGTTCATCCCTGCAGGCTGATAAGTTCCTGCCTCCATACCCAGGCTGTCCCTCATCTCTGGCAGGGAAGCTTGAGGTGTCCTGAGTGTCTCCTCCCTTGAGGTGTGTAACTATTGGAGGAGAAACCACCCACCTCTGCCATGAACTAACCCTGGATGGAACCCTGGCACAGTAATGACCTCTCTCCAGTATCCCCATATTGGGAATAACCCCCCTGCCCCACTAACCCTTAAACCCCCACCTGGAAATCATTTGGGTCATGGGGATTTGATCCACTGTTTGGTGTTTTGCAGATGGGGAGCTGGTCCAGTATCACTATGGGCTGAAGGATCTGGTCACAATCCTCTTCTACATCTTCATTGCCATCATCCTGCACGCAGTGGTGCAGGAATACGCCCTGGACGTGAGTGCCATTCCATGTCTTGAGCCACCAGAAGACCTCAAATCCCATGGTCCTGCTGCAGTTAAATGCTGTTCTGGGGGTTAAGGTGGTGATTATGAGTGAGCCTTCACCTCTGGAGGCTGCTTGGGATGAGGAGCAGGAGGAGGAGAGAGGGTTGATGACCCAGTGGCTCATGTGTTCTTGGCTTTTTCTCTCTTCCTCTGCTCCTTCCCAGAAAATCAACAGGCGTCTGCATCTCTCCAAGGTCAAACACAGCAAGTTCAATGAGTCAGGGCAGCTGGTTGCCTTCCACCTCACCTCTGTGATCTGGTGCTTGTACGTCGTGGTGACGGTAAGGCACGGGAATGGCTGGGATTTGGGTTGCCAAGGGGGAATTTGGGATTTCTGGAGCACAAAATCCCACTGGGAGCAGAGTCCCCAGCCAGCCCCTGGGCCAAAATTGGCACATTTCAGCAAGTTTAGTTTTCAAGTGTGGTGGATCTTTCCAGCCACTGAGTGAGGGCAGTTTTGGGAGATCCTTCTCCTGCACTGTGCAAGGCATAAGCTAATGGGATGTGAGATATTTTGGAGCTGGTCTTCAGAAATCCTACCTGGTCTCATCATCTCCATCTGCTGCTCCAGATCATCTTTCTCAGATTCTTATTTTCCTCTTTATTTACGTTCAGTGCTTTGAGGTTTTTGGATGCCTTTTGCAGGGTTGTGGGGCTAATGGGCGGATTTTTGGGATCCCTCTTTGTGGTCCCTTTCCTGGCAAGCTGGCAGTGAGGAGATCGCTGAGAACAGGAAAGCCACGCTGTTCCTTGGGTGCATTGCAAATGTGTCAACCCAAAACTGCTGGGAGAAGAAATCAGAGGGAAAACATGTCTTTTTGGGGAGGAAGGGGGAGGGAAGAACAGGTGTTGTGGCTATTTTGGAAGTGTGAAGTGATGATGCTTTGCTGCCTGCAGCCATTGGGGTCCAGCTGGGGATGGATCCTTGGGGACAGGTCCCCTCCCCACTGCCTGGGGGTTCCTACCAGCTCCAATTAGAGTACTGCTTTCAAGGCCAGCATTTCAGAGGTCTGCTGGCACTGCTTCTCCCCTATGGAGCTCTGAGGAGGGAAACACTGATAACACAGTTGATGCTGCTGGTTTTGGGCTCCCCTTTCCCAGTGCCAGACCCATCCCTCAGCAGCTGTGGGGCTGGAGCCTCCTCCTTGCCATTATGTGCTCCCCAGACACCCCATGTGCTCAAAGCACGTCGCCCTTCACAGCACTTGCACTTCCCCTGGCCTCCCCCAGCTGAAAAAAGGGCTTAGGGCAGACAGGGCATGGATGGTGGTGACTCGGCAGGACAAGTTTCCCATGCCAGCACCTCCTTCCAAAGCCCAGTGCAGCATCCCCGTGGCAGGAGCAAGAGGGGAGCCACATCCTGTAACCTGCCCTGCAAGCATAAGTTAAGAGGTGGAAAATAAAACTATCCAATGCATAATAAATTGGTGCATAATAAATTGGTTCTGTAGGTGTTTTCTGTTTCCCTTTCTTGTCAGTAGTACTTCTGGTTGCTTAAGTGATACTTGGTTGGACAGGCCAGTGAGGGAGAAGCCCCACAGACCATGCACACAGTTGCAGGCATCTCACCCCCACGCCTCCAGAGCATCCCAAACCCCAGAACATCCTGTCCTGAACGTGGGATCATGTGTGCAACCGAGCAAGGAGCCTTCAGCCCCCAAACACAGGGCCTGGAGAGATTTTATAGGGGTGCTAGAGACCCAAAAATGTGTCTGAGCTTTGGTGAGCTCAGCCTTGGCTCTCGCAGGGGACACGTTTTTTCCTGCAGGCTGGGTGTCATCCCCAGTTCCTTTTTACACTGTAACATCAGCCCACCCTGTCATACATAACCTGTTTCTTTTGCTGAAGCCTTGCATCTCTTCTCTTTCTCAGGAAGGATACGTATCAAACCCCCGGAGTCTGTGGGAAAACTACCCGCATGTTTATCTTCCGTAAGCACTTGCGAGGGTGTTTTGTTCCGGGGCTGACCACTTCCTTCCTCTTCACGGTTTTCCCTGTGGCTGGGAGAGGGGTGCTGACAGCACAGCACCCTTTGCATGCACCCTGCTGCAAGGATGCTGCAGTGAGGTCATGAGGAATGGTGGATACCTCGTGTGTGAGCCTGGGGAGGGTGTTCCGGAGGGTTTCCCCCATGAGGAAGGTCCTGTGACCCTGGTTACTCATCCTGGCTGTTTTCTGCATCACCTTGGGCAAGTCTCTTCGCTGTTTATTTTTCACAGTAGGAATGAAGTGGGGGATAACCCTCCCTTTTTGGATTTTTACAAAAGTGAGGTTTGCTGAGGGCATGGAGACCGCAGCAGGAGCATCTGGATAAACTCCAGGTGTGGCTGTCTCAGCTCAACAAATAATTTCAGCCCAGAAATGATACCTCCTAAATCCTGTGGCTTCAAAGCAGTGGAGGGATTGCCCAATGCTGCCCTGCCACCCAGGTCCTTGGGGTCCTGCCATGCCCTGGGTTGGCTCTCATGGATCATCCCTGCATTTCAGGTTCCAGGTGAAGTTTTTCTACCTGTGCCAGCTGGCGTACTGGCTGCACGCCCTGCCGGAGCTCTACTTCCAAAAAGTTCGCAAGGTGAGAGCCAGGTGGACCACCTGGGGATCCCACACGCTGGATTTTGGGAGAGGGAGCTTTGGGAGAGGGCAGGTGAAGAGGGTTGAGAGGTTGACATGGCTCTCTGCCCTGCCAGGAGGAGATCCCCCGCCAACTGCGCTGCATCACGCTCTACCTGGTGCACATCGCCGGCGCCTACCTGCTCAAGTGAGTCACCTCCCTCAGCACCACATCCCGCTCCAGGGATGGGGCTGAGCAGCTCCTTTTGCAGTGGGAGTCACCTGGGAATCCTCAGTGGGGTGGGAGGCTTAAAGGGAATAAAGTGGAGTGTTTCAGTGGACAGTGAGTTTTTGCACAGGCGGGTAGTGATAGGAAAAGGGGGAATGTTTTTAAACTAAAGAGAGATTTAGATTAGATATTAGGAAGAAATTCTTCCCTGTGAGGGTGTTGAGGCTCTGGCACAGCTGTGGCTGCCCCATTCCTGGAACTGTTCAAGGCTGGGTTGGATGGGGCTCTGTGCAACATGGAGTAGTGGAAAGTGTCGCTGCCCGTGGCAAGGGGTTGGGACTGGATGATCTTTAAGGTCCCTTCCAACACAGATCATTCTGTGATAAAAAGCAGAGCAGCCTTGCCAGCAGTTAGGGGTTTGTGTTGGATTCCTACTGGTTTGGGCTGTGCTGATGATTTGGGGACAGGGATTTCCCCCGCTGCTGCAGAAAGGCCTGGCTTTAGGGTGGTGCTGCAGCTCAGGAATGGCAGGGGAGAGGCTGTAGCTGAATTTGAGAGATGATGGTTGACCAGTGATGCTTTTTTCTTCCTCTTCCCTCCTAGTTTAACCCGCTTGGGGCTGATCCTCTTGCTGTTGCAGTACTTGGCTGAGTTCTTCTTCCACATGGCCCGGCTGGTTTACTTCACGGATGAGAACAACGAGAAGCTGTAAGCAGGGGAGCTGCCCAGGGCTTCCACCTCCTCCAGAGCCTGGGAGAGCCACATGGCTTGATCTCAGTGCTGGAAGCTGCTCCTGCCCACAGCTCTGCTTGTCCCTCCCACAGGTTTAATGTCTGGGCTGTCGTGTTCGTGGTCACCCGGCTCTTCACCCTCACCTTGTACATCCTGGTCATTGGCTTCGGGCTGCCACGGGTGGAGAGCCAAGCCCTGGATCCTGAGAGAGGGAATTTTTTCAGCTTCCTCTTCAACAATATCCTTTTCAGGTAGGAATGTCTGCTGTGTCTTCCTTGGCTGTGTTATCTCAAGGTGGGTTTTGCCGAGTTTGGAAGTCACAGAATCACAGAATGGTTTGGGTTGGAGAGGACCTCAAAGCTCTTCTCCTTCCAACCCTGTGCTATAGGCACCTTCCACTGGACCAAGCTGCTCACAGCTCCATCCAAATGCTAGTGGGGATCTGATATTGGTTCCATTTAGGGAAGGTCCTAATGAGCTGAAGGGGTGTGAAGGAAGCAAGAAGGGGTTTAAAGACTACAGAGGGGAAAAACCATCAAATAAGGTGTTCATTGAATGAAGTTATAAACCATGAGTCTATCCTAGAGAAAGGCTTACAGGCTTTCCCTGCTTCACCTTTAAGTGCATTAACACAGATGTGGTCAAGGAAAATGCATTTTCCCTTCTGCTTGGACATGTTTTTCTCTCTGTTGACATGGGAAGCAGAATAGGGGATGGGCTCCTCATGCCTTGCAGTCTGTCTGTCAAGACTGGGACCCTTTCTCGGCCATAGAGCAGCTTTGGGTTCAGTTCAGAATTTGCTAGGCCTGGTCATTCCCAAGCTTTTTGAAGCCATGGACTGCTGGCACACACGAAGATTTGGGGGACTTTCTTAGCTCCATTCCAGCCACATCCATCTTTTAGATGTACAGAGAAGTTGGGAAAGTCATACCTTGACTGTGCAGAGTGTGGCTTGGGCAGTGCTGGTCGAGATGATCCTGTTGATCCATTCTTGCCCTGAAGTTGTAACAATCAGCAATGCCCTGAGCACCTGAGAGCTTTATGGTGTCGAGAGAAAGGGAAGGGGCTGCTCTTTGCTCAGGGGATGGCAGGAAGGGGAGATGGTGGCAGCTGTAGGGATGGCACCTGCCACCCAGGGGGCCACCAGCCCCGGTGTGGGTGGAAGGCTGGGTCGGCCGTGGCCTCGCTGCTCTGTTCTCAGCCTGCCTCTTCTCCGCCCCTGCCAGAATGAGTGTGCTGCTGTTGGTGTGCCTCTTCCAGGCCTCGGTGATGTGGCGCTTCATCCACTTCCAGCTGCGGCGCTGGAGGGAGTACTGGAACGAGCAGAGCAGTCGGAAGCGAGTCGCTGCCGCCACCACCGGCACCAAGCAGCAAACCAAGCCGCTCAAGAGGGACTCGGGTGAGTGCTGGGATGGGTGGCACCGTGGGAGGTATCAGTCCTGTGGTTCAGCACCCCCTCAGGGGGTCCCCAGCAGCGTCCTGGCATAGCGGGGGCTTTCCCCATGTCTGTGGGCCAGGCCTGAGAGGGTTTGGCTTGTGCAAGGGACAAAGTTTCCTCTTTCCATAGGATCACAGAATCAATTAGGTTGGAAAAGACTTCTGAGGTCGTCGAGTCCAATCTATGGATGAACACCACCATGTCAATTAGACCATGGCACTAAGTGCCACATCCATGTGTTTCTTGAACACCTCCAGGGATGGGGACTCCATCACCTCCCTGGGAAGCCCATTCCAATGCTTAACCACCGTTTCTGTGAAGAAATGTCCAACCTGAACCTCCCTTGGCACAGCTTGAGGCTACATCCTCTTGTCCACTCAGTTGTTCCCTGGGAGTAAGCCTGACCCCCGCCTGGCTCCACCATCCTGTCAGGGAGTTGTAGAGGGGGATAAGGTCACCCCTGAGTCTCCTTTTCTCCAGGTTAAACAACCCAAACTCCCTCAGTCGCACCTCATAACCTCTAGATCCTTCACCAGCTTCATTGCCTTTCATTTCTGTCCCCAGGTTACCATGAAAACGGGGTGGTGAAAGCAGAGAACGGCACCTCACCTCGAACCAAGAAGCTGAAGTCGCCGTAGAAGCCAAGGGTTGTCTCCTGGGGAGGAGGGCGAGATACCAAGACTAAGCAGCCCCTCCTCCTGGTCCTCACGGGCAGCGTCTTGAGTGGCTTGGAAACCAGTCATCTTCCCAAGGTGTCTCTCGCTCTCCTCCCTTCCTCTCTTGCTCTCTTGAACCATTTGCAATAAAACCAAAAAGGTCCCTTTCCCCTGCTCCTTTCCCCTCGTAGGAACCTTTTCCAGCCCTCTTGGTTTTGCCTTCCTCTGTTTGATGGTAAATGAGTGTGCAATTTTGGTTTTTTTCTTTTCTATTTTAGTGTTTGGTTATTTTGGTTAATGGTTACAAATGTGTCGTAGACGGTTCCAAACGATCCTTTTTTCTCCCACAGCGTGTTCCTCCCCTCTCTCTTCATGGTGCTTCCCTGAGTCCCTGAGACAGGGCCACGACAGCTTGAAGGCACCAAATGCATGTTATGGGAACAGGTTCCTGGGGGAGTGTGCTGGGGCTGTGAGATCCTGAGGCCCTGGGGCACTCTCAGGTGAGATGGGGCCAGTGCTCAGCAGGGTGGTGATGCTGCAAAGAGAGAGCAGGGTCTGAGGGAGGAACCTCAGCCCTGTCTTGTCTCATGATGGACCCCTGGTTATGTGGGGCTTTTCTGACCCCTGGTTTTGAGCTAATTTTGGAGAGCTGGGCAGCAGAGAGAGGAGAGAATTTCCTTCTTCATATGGAAGGCCCACCTCCCAGCCTCTGCTTGCCCCAGCTCTTCTGGTACAGCTGGGTCTCTCTTGGCTGCCCCGTGGTTTTTCTGGACCTCCCAGCCCCAAGAGCTGAGCAGCTCTCCAGCTCACAGTGCCTTGTCATGGGGCAGCACCATCCTCAAGTCCAGGTGAAACCTCGAGTCCTGCCCCACTCTGAGCACTGGCCTGGCTCCTGTCAGCCCAGGCCCTTTGCCAGCTTGTCTTTGCCCCGTGGACCTGGTGTTCTTGTGGCTCCTGACCATGTCCAGATGACAAACTGGCTGCTGCAAAGGATTTTCGCATCAATGGGACTGTGCCCCTCATGCTGTCACCTCAGCTTTCCTCATCCCTACCATACCAGTCCAGCCGTGCCATCGGTAGCCACCAGCTTCACTCTTTGTTTCAAAAGGATACAGTGCTTGTATCCACCCAAGGTGCTATCAAATCCAGGGTTTCTTCCAAAAAACCTAGCCCCTTCATCCCTTTCTGAGCTGTGAACGAGATGACAGGGAGGGAAGGGGAAGGAAGCCAGAGCTGCAAGGAGCAGCTTGTGTTTTAGGAAAAGCCTGACTTGTGACGGTAGCTGTTGGCAGATGGAGTTGTCTCAAATCTACCTCAGAGGCCATCTGTTGCTGCAGACCACTTTCCCCTCTTGCTCCTGCCCGCTGCCACCTCCGTGTGCTGGCAGAAGCTTTTGTGGAAAGCCAGATCCCACCGGCTTGATCCCTTGCTGCTGAGGAGCAGCATCTGCGTGGGGTTTCGTGGGTCAGTGCCATCTCACTGAACTTCTTTGGGGTGCCACACACCGGGTGAGCAGCAGTGGCACCCTTCACCCCACACTCTCCTCCAGGGCGGTCCCTAAGCTGGGCTTTGCTGTTGGTGCCTCTTGTGCAGCGAAGTCGGGCGTAGCTTTAGTTCTGCTTTGCCGCTGCAGGAACAGGCGACTCGTGTGTTCCCTTGGCTGGGCGAGGAGAGAGGGCACAGAGCTGGGGGGAGCTGGGGTGCTCTTCCATAGGCAGTCCAGGATTGATCCTTGGTGTGCCCCTTGCTCAGCCCTTCGGGCAGCTGAGCTCTGGCTCTCTCCCAGTGCAATTTCAGATTGAGGCTGGCGCAGGTGTTCTTTTCATCAGTTGTGTTTTGAGGAATGGGTGAGAGTTGATTTTCTGCCCCTCTTTGAGTTGAGTTGGGGTTTTTCCCTGTTTCTGTGGGTGACTTTTGTCCCTTCCTTTCCCTCTCCTTGTTGGGGATGCACTGGAGGGAGAAAATGTTCAGGGATACGAGGACAATTGGTCAAATTCCTGTTGATCCTCCATCCTCATGACCTGTGAGTGTCAAACAAGAGATATTGGCAGGAGAGGGTTTCCCCCTTTCTCGGGGGAGCTGAGGAAGGAGGTTGGAGCAGAGCCCTTGGAGGTATCTTGCAGTTGCTCCTCACAGCCCGTGCTGGGTCAATAACACGCATTTTGGCTCAGAGACAATGGCAGTACCCGTGGGGCAGTGAGACCAGAGGGGGAAAAGAGCTTTATGTTTAGGGAGGACGTGGAAAAGGTCTAGTGTGAGAGGTTTTTCCTTTCCCTTCCTCTTCCCCTCCCCAGCCATCCACTGCCATGTGCCCTCCAAGAGCGACTGCTGGCCGGGATCTCTCCGGAGCCTCGGCCGGTCCTTTCCGCAGAGCCGGTGCCTCACAGCAGCTGAGCTGTTGACTCTGTTAACAGGCGACACGTAACAGCCCCCCAAAAAGCTGGCTGCTGAATGATTCCTCCTGCCTGCCTGCTTTGCTTCAGGCAGCTTTTCCACTTGCACAGTGCTGTCTCTTCGTACAGTAGCCGATGATGCTTTGTATCCCAAGTGCCTTATGTTGTAGCCTCTCTGTACTTTAGCAATAGCTGAACACCCCCCCTCTTTAGTATGTATGTACAGCATATGCTACGTTTATGTGGTTTTTTGTTTTCTTTTTGATAGAGCTACCAGGAAAAGGGATAGTTTGTTATGGAAACATTTCCATGTGTTCTTTCTATCATTTGTTTTTTTAAACCTATAGGCGATGGGGGGTTTTTTTGCCCTCCCCTGTATTTAGTACTCAGAAATCCCCATCCTTCTGTTAGACCCAAACCTGGCAGGTTGTTTTTTTTTTTAGGCTGAGCCTTTGTTGTGAGGCAATATCCACTGTCATCCTGGAGGTTTGCAATCCCCTCTCCATCAGAGAGGCTGCTCCTGTCTCTGTGTTCTAGTCCAAGCACAATCCCTCAGCTGCAAGCCCACAGTAACTGCTTCTATGTCCATGTCATTTCTCAGCAGATCGAGCCTTCTTTTCAGCCCAAAGAGCTTTTTTCTTTCCCAAATGGAGTGTTTTCCTTACAAGCCCTTATTGGTCAGTCTGTCCTTGACAGCTCTGTGTATTAAATGCCACGAGCTCACTTCCCTTGAGTGGATGCTCTTCTCATGCCCCATCTTGTCAAGCCCTGTGTCATCTGCAGAAAACACCATAGAATTGTTGGGTGAGGTTGGAAAACACCTCCAAATTAATAAAAATCCAGCTTTTAATCCAACACCAAGATCCAACCCCACACAGGAGCTCTTGTCCACCACAGTGCAGAAGGTGATGGAGACTATCCAAAACTGCAGGTCTTTACTTCCAGTGTAACACTATTGCTTGCACCCTTCCCATGGGCTTGTAGTCTGTGTCCATTATCCATCCTAAGGAGATCAGGAATTGAGTAGCCTGTGAATTTTGGGGTGAAGCATAGTGTTCTCCTGTCCTAGCCTAGAAGAGCTGTAAAATACCAGCAGTAGTTCTCTCTTTCTGTCTTTAGATAGTCAGAGAACGGGCTTGGGAAGAGGAAGGGGTGGAGGAAGAACAGATGTAGCATTTCACGTACAATTTTTGAGTGACACTTACCTTATGGGGCATTACAGTCACGTTTTGTCTTGTTGTTGTTGTTGTTTAGGATTCTTTCTTTCTTACTCATCCTGTTTGGGCTAGTAGTAGACAAGTTCCAGTTCCCCTGTAGGTCCCCTTACCTTCAACTCACTCTTTTAAAATGTATGGTAGGCTTCCTTGTTGGAGGGAAGAGTGGCTACTCTAAGATGTCTCTTCCTTGCCTCCAAGTGACTCTGGAAGCTTGGAGCTACCCTGCCTTTGCTGCAGTGCCTGCGGGTTCCCAGCAGCCTCAGGCTCTTGCCTTTGGTAGATGGACCCCAAACTGTGTAAACAGTGGATAGAAATGATGGGGTTTGATTTACAGCCTTTCAGGAACAAAAGGTTGGCTTGGTAGGTTTTATACCCAAGTGAAATATGTTCCTTTGGCTCGGGGCTGTGTGTGGAGTTTTGCTGGGAAGAATGGCTGGTGGAAAAGCCAGGCAGAGGCATGTAGTTTCTCCTCAAAAATGTTGAACTCAATGGATCAAACTTCAGCAAAGGAACTCAAGGAAAATTTCTCTACTTCCGTATTTCCTGATTTTTGAGTGGGTGGGGGGAATTAACAGTCTCTGGTATTTTATCCTGTTCGTTTCATTCTTTCTGTTACTTCAGTTTTTGTACGGATTTTGTTTGTTGTTGTTTGTTGTTAAATGACTTGTGATAAACTCAGCAAAAGTATTTTTCTGAAATAAATGAATAAAAGGCATAGATTCTTCCACTGCTGCTGTCCAGTGATGCTTTATCACTCCTGAGCTGTACATGTGGCAAAGCAGCTGTGGTGGGTTAGACTGGTCTTTTCTCCTGTCATACCAGGCTAATCTGTTCCCTTTGCAGTATCTTGTGTCCTCCTCTTCATGGAATCATGGAATGGTTTGGGCTGGAAGGGACCTTAAAGCTCATCTGCCATGGGCAGGGACACCTCCCACTATCCCAGGTTGCTCCGATCCCCATCCAACCTGGCAATTCCTGGGATGGGGCAGCCACAACTTCTATGGGCAATCTGTGCCAGGGCCTCACCACCCTTACAGGGAAGAATTCCTTCCTCCTAATATCCAATCTAAATCTACCCTGTCAGCTTAAAGCCTTTCCCCCTTGTCCTGTCAATCCATGCCCTTCCAGCTGGGCTTCATCTTCCCACATTTCCCATGTCCACAACACAGGCAGCTGCTCCGGAGGTCGTTACTTGTGGCTGCCTTCATCACAGGGAGTGGAGGAGAAGGGTATTTGGAGGAGATGATTTATCTGATGTGGTTTAGGCGCATATTTCTTGGTGAGTTAAATTGTATACTTTGTGCAGCTGGCCCGGGATACGACATGACTTGGCTCAGGATTAGGTTACTGTTTTGTAGCATGTGCAGAAAAGAGTTTCAGACTTTGTTTTCTACAGCTCCAGTAATTTCATCCGTAATCTCCTGGTCTCTTGAAGAGTGAGGTGGACCAGAGATACCTGGAGTGATCCTCAGTCAGAGTGATCAGCAGCACAAAACGGGCCCAGAAGGGAAGAGGAGTGACCTTTCTGAACAAGGGGAGCAGGAGGGAGCTGTCATGTGGAGACTCAGCTGTCTGAGGGGAAGTGAGAATCCACAGCACAAAAGCTGGTTTAAAGAAGCATTTTGTTCTAAAGAGCTTTGTTCTCCTCTGCGTGCATGACAGCTGCCTTCTTCTTTTTATTTGTGCTCCATGGCAATACCTGGCAGGTGACATTTGGGGCGATAACATCCCTGCCACATTTACCTTCGTGGAGAGATGAGTAATGTTACTCTAAGTGGAGCACAAGTGTCATAACTCTATTGCTATGCCAACTGCCAGTATTCCCTTTTCCTTGGAGCCCTGCCTGGTGTGATGACAGGCTGCATAAGATGGGTTTAGATGGTATCTCAGTCCTAAAACCATTCTCCCAACCTTTTGTTAAAAATGTGCAGAGCTGCTGTGAGCAGATTTGTGTCCAGACCCCTGCTATCTCCAGATAGCTAAACTCACTACCCCATTTCGAGTAAATCCAAAATGTCACTTTGTGGAGTTTTCCCCCCTCCCTTATTTTAATCCTTAACTATTCCAGCCATTGAGGTAATTCTATTTAAAACAGATTTACTAACACTTTTATAGCAACTGCATTTTTATTGCAATTTTAAAACAATGTAAACTGGCAGTCTTCACTATTTGAGGGTGAAAGGCCCTTTTGACTCTCAAAGAAAACTAGAGTGGTTTTCACTTCAGGCTTCAGAGCTTCAGCTCTCTAAAATACTTTACTAAAAAGTTGAGAGATCAACAGGAGAACCCAACTTTGGTTCTCAGAAATTTTCTTCTGTGAGTTTCATTTCAACATCCAGCAGTTGTGAAGTCGAGTTTGGTGGTGGCCAAAAGGGCAGAGGGAGGTTAGGGAAGAAAAAAGTTAACAAAATAAGGGTGGAATTAACTAGTACTATGGAAAGGGGGAGAGTGAGTGAAGCAAAGGTGAAGACTGGAACATCCTTTTTGAAGCATGAGGTCTTCAAGTCACCTGGGTATTTAACTGCTCGTCTTGTGCTTCAGGTTCTGGGAAAAGATTACTAGGGAAGGCTCGAAGGAAGTCACGGTAGTTTACATAGTCTTCTCCACAGGAACAATAGTCAATGAGCTGTGGGGACAAAAAACAACAAACACCATAAAGAGTTGGAAGAAGCTGCAAAATCGAGGGTTTTTTTTTAGGGGAAAGTGCCCAGAGGTACTGCTTTTGTGTCAGAGCAGGAGATCCTATTTCCCTGTTGGAAGAGCCTTGGTAGTCCTGATTCACAGGTAAACTTAGAATCATAGAATCACTAATGTTAGAAAAGACCTGCAAGATCAAGTCCAACCTTTAGATCATCAAATCCAACCATCTAAGAGTTGGACTTGATGGTCTAAAGGTTGGACTTGTTGATCTAAAGGTCCAAGTCCAACCTTGAATGCCTATAGATGACACTAATCTGTGCAAGAAGAACTAAAGTGTTTGAGTCTAATCTTGATTTCCTTCTGGGCATCACGAGAGTGGCAACAGACCCATAAAAATACAAAGCATGGCCACAGACTTGACACAGGCCATGGGAAATCTTCCAGAAAGCCCTGCCAAAAGTGGGATGGGGGCTGTGTGTCTAACTGTCCCTGTTCCCTGGTGTCACTTTGGTGAGTGCACATGGCATGAAGGGGAGACACAGATAATTGAGCTCGGAGACAGCCCGACTAATGAGCCAGTTCTGGTGTCCGTGCCTGACCCTGCATTGTGTTACAGAGCTATAGCCTTTGAGTGCTTAAGGGGAAGAAAGAGGGCTTTTGTTTCTTTAATTGCATAACTAATCTCCTTCTGACACCCAGGGAGATGGAAAAGGTCTAATATCACAGTTCCTTGAAAGGATTCTTCTTCCCCTTGTCGCCCAGAGACAGATTCACCGGGGTTTGCTCTGGTGTGACTGACAGCTGTGCTCCTCTCCAACCCAGGCAGCAGTTCACACTCTGCCCTGTGTTTAATTTATAGCCCTGCCACGCTCCCGAGGGCTCTGGGAACACTGGTATTAAGATTTCAAGAGAGAAGAGGGATGTTTTTAGTGTGTAAGCCCTAGAATGGGGCTTCAAACATAGAGGTTTAGTCTAAGTTGTCACAGGTTCTCCAGCTAGTTTTAGTCATGTCACTTCCTCTCCCATTCTCAGATGGAGCAGGAAGGACCCACCACACTGTAAATTCCTCAGGGTGGAGGGAGGTCTGATGAACTCTAGCACAGGAAAGCCCTGGGTGCTGGCCAGGGCCTTTATTCATCCACATTCAGAGACACAAATCCCCTGCCCGTGCACCTTTCTAGCCATGGCTGGGATGCTCACACTTGGCTGGTTTAGAAAATTTGTTATTTTAGCAAGGGAACTACTCCCTCTGGTTTCTAGATTTCTCTAAACTCTGAGTCTGCCTTTACTGGCCACTAATCTACTACCTGTTACATGATGCTAAGGAAGCACCCTTGCCAGTCATATTCCTGAAAGGATCCTCCATCCCTGCTGCATGAATTCTTCTCTCAGTTTCCCTCACATTTTCTGCTGTGCAGACTGTGATCTCCACGTGCTGTTGCTCACAGTCCCCAGCTGTGTCAACCAAGTGGTTATGATTCTAATTTCTTTCTCTCTTATTTTTTAATTTTTTGGGACAATACTTAGTTCTTAAACCTTCAATTCAGTTGCTGCAAAATCCAGAATACCTCTAAGCTTTCCTAAGGCCCATTCCCTAAGCACCTCAGTGTCATCTCTACTCAATCCCAACTGTGCTGGACAGACATTCCATAGGTCTGCAGTAGCCTATCCCTGATCTCTATCATGATGTAACACCTCTTCTGCTCATCCAAGACCTGAGCCAGCAGGAATGTTCAGGCTTCACATGACAGTGCAGCCAAACATGGGGGGCAACCTGGGTAACATTTCTTCCCCTTCCTTTGAGGACAGCAATTATTATCTGCTCTAAGACACAGGCTCAGTCCAACAGCTCAAAAGCCTTTCTAAATTGGGACTCTATTGCCCTTTTCTTGAAGCTGTTCCTCTTTGTAGGGTAAAGCAGCTGGTTAGGGTTGGTTTTTATAAGAGATCATTTGGAAGAACTATAGGAGGGAAAGCAGAACACCCCTTCCTCCTGACCTTTTTAAGAAGAATGGTGCTGGTTGGCACTTCCAACCTATCACAAAGGTCCAAAAATATTCCTTTGTCCACGATTCCAGAGCCATCCTTGTCACACTGATGAAATGCCTCATGAAACCTCCTGGTGTTCAAGTAGCTGTGACGGAGCTTCAGCTCTTTCTGAACCTCCTCAATTAAGTCATCCAGGGCCTGCTTGGGGATGTCACTGCAGAAGAAAGGAATAACAGGATTTCATGTAAAAGCTGATTCTGGCAGCCTTACTGTGACACTTGTGTGAACAAGGAGCATTCCCCTGTGTGTTCCACAGTCCTGGGAACTGTGGACAACTCAAGTTTCAAGCAGAGCCCCTGAACTACCATGATATTGCCTCCAAACAACATTCTGAGGGAACATGGTTGTTACTGGGTCACACAAGCTGGGTCCAGACAGCTAAAAAAGAGGTTGTGGTCTAGGCTCTGATGGGCTGATAAACAAAGAAGGAACAATGTCAAAAAAAAAAGACTCCACCAACCACCCACTAAGCCTGCAATGATCAAGTAGCTCAAACTGGCAGCATCTGTTACAGTGAACTGATGCCTTTTGGGAAAAGCTGTCCCCCCCATCCCTGGAAGTGTTCAAAATCAGGCTGTATGGAGCTCTGAGCAACCTGTTCCAGAGAAAAGGTGTCCCAGTCCACAGCAGAGGGGTTGGAACTAGATGAGCTTTAAGGTCCCCTCTAACCCAAACCATTCTGTGATTCCATGATCTGGCTGAAAGTGTCTCTGCTCATGAGCCAGAGCTGTCCCACAAGGGTTTTGGGTCAGCACCAGCCACGACATTTTGTTGTACACACTTCACCCCCTCTGTATGTGTCCAAACACAGGCTCTTGTAGCTGAATAACCAGCAGAGCAGCCAGCCCATGGAGGCTGCTGCAAATGCCCTTAGATGTCAACCCTGAGTGTTGTTTAGCCCCACAACGCCATCCTTTGTAGCCTACTTGTTGACAGTGTCCTTTACTGCCTTCCGTGGGCGAAAATGATCCCTCAGGGATTGCAGTGTTGTTGCAGGGAAACTCTCTGCGTTTCTTTCCAAGTAATTAAGCACATATTCGTCAGCATCAGTGATAACAAACCTGTGGCCAAACACTGGGGAAGAGGCATGAAAGAAAGAAGTGTTACTTGTGTTTCAGCATGGGCAAGTCCCTTCGTCCAGGAGGGAGCATGATTCCTCTCCTGTGGCTGGGCTCAGCTTTGAGCCAGCTCTGCTATTTGTTTCACTTCTTGAAGAAAGAATAGTTTCACTGATTCAAAGATTCAGACATTGACAGTAACAGAATTATATCAGTGTACACCACCTGCTGATCTGGAAGCTCAAATTTGATGAGACCCAGAAGCAACAAATCCTTCAAGCAAAGGAAGGGATATGCACTGTCCATGCAATAAATGTCATATCAGAGCAGAGTATTATCAATCCAGGCTGGATTTTACCTTCAATTGTAGAGCCAATGGTGAAGTCAGAGGGCTGAAAGTATATGGGATCCTCTGGAGTAGACCCTGGCTTGGCAACTCTGGTCCTTTTTAAGTATTTGCCTCCAGGGATGCCAGAGTTTCGGATTGGGGGTTCATAGATGCTGATCGTGTCATCAGAGAGGAAATAAGAGAGGATGAAACGACGATTTCTGTCCTCAGGGACTGGTGATTCCTAAAGCAAAGGTGGTAGGTTTGGAAAAGAACATTTCAACCAGGTTTTCCTTTCCTGGGGTGCTCAGGAGTACCTGGTAACCCACTCATAAGCACCCAGAGCTCACAGCTTTTTTTATTGCTGACTAAACAAAGCTCCTGATGTGCTGACATAGTGTAACAAAGCCTTAGACAGCACTCACTATCTGAATTTCAAAGGTTATGTGCTCTACTCAGGGTAACACCAGCAGAATCTAGGCTGCAGTGACCAAGTATATTCAGTATTTCCACTGACTGAATAATCCAAGAGAAAGGAATATCCTATATGGAATGATTCATCCCAGAGAGGCTGTAAAATTCAGTATTAAAGTTACATTTTTTTCATTCTACTGAGTGCCTGAGAGAGGTTGGTGCTGCTTCAGCTCTTAGTCACAGGAAGTCACTCCCCTGACACATCAGTGGGTTTACTTGCCTCCTTTAAAATTAAGTGGATCTGAACTTGTCAGCTGTGACCTTTAGGGAGCTCCTGCACAATAGGGAAAAGAAACCAGCCCTTATTCACCCAGAGTGTTTGGAGAGGGCAAGCACCACAGGAAATGCCATTGCTACTGCTGGACGTGCCAGAGGCTCCTTGCATAAACCAACTGGAAAGCTGGCACAAAGGCCAGGGCCTGGATGCTCTTGGAAAACACTGGACTCTCCAGCTTCTACGCTGGCACTTGGCTACTCTGCTAGGACAGCTCCTTGCTGGCTGCTGCATCCAGGACTAGCCTGGAGAAGGGCAGGTGCTGGAGCCAGCAGCAGAGACATCAAGCTCTGGCTCATGGCAGCAGTTTCAGGCAGGCAGGGGCACAGTGCCCAGTGCAAGGCTGTTCCAGTCAGGGCCATCTGTCACATGCCGCTGGCAGTGGGAGTTCTTCCATAAATGGCTGTAGGTTTGTGGCATGTCTGGTTGGTACTTTCTGGCCTTGTTTTGTTTTTTTTTCCCTACCTTCTCGTGCTGCTCATTGTCACAGCAAGCACACAGTAACCCCCTGGCATCCCCCGAGGGACACTCGTGCTGGCTTGGGGAACTCTCTTCTCCCTCTGGCACAGAGAAGAATTTGCCAACAGCCTTGTCTGAGCAGGCTGCTCCTCCCACCCTCCTGACTCTACCACACAAGCTGGCATTATTCCACCAAGGAAAGCACTTACCAGGGCCGCCTGGTACCGCAGGACCTTGAGATCATTCTCCAGCATCTTAATAACATCTTTCTGTGGACGCTTCGGAATCAGGCGGAGGCAGTTCTGGAGAGAGTCTTCAGGCATGCCAAAACCATTATGGGGAGGAATTACCTGCATCCAGAGGAGATATCAACCATAAACAGCTGAAACTGAGAAGAAGACAAAGTTTGCAAGGCAGCTTATCAAAACCTGTCTAATTTGGAAGGAAATCTTCAGTCACCAGGTAGCAAGAGCTGTGACAATCTACCCAGTAGAGATGCTACTGGCCTGGTCATGTGTTGGATTTAATGAAAATGTAAGAGGATTAAAAAAATCAGAAAGCCAGGTAATTTCTCTGAATAAAGAGACTATGGCTGTATTATAGAATCATAGAATGATGGAATGGTTTGGGTTGGAAGGGACCTTAAAATCATCTAGTTCCAACTAAACCTTCCTGTGCACAGGAACTCAGCCGTCTATTTGGTTACACTGGTAACCTAATCCCCACCATGTCTATGTTCTAGGCCAATTGACACTCCAAACCATTCCTAGGCTCAGTTTGGGAGGTAACAAGCGCTGTGATCATCTCCAGTAGGCAATCTGGACTTGGCAAAACTGTTTTGGAAAGTGAGGAGAGTTTAGTATTATGACTGCAGCCAGATTTTCATTTTTATATCGATTATGACCATTCTTGCCTTGTCTTCTTTAAATTACTCGCTTTTTTTCTTTAAATTGAACTTGTTTTCTATAGGTTCTCACTAAACTGAACCTCTACTTTATTATAAGAGCTTATGCCAACTACTTCTTTCCTCTCTCCCTTTCAGAAATTGTTTGCAGTACCTGTGGAACTTTTTCGAGTGGTTTCTCACTGATTTGCAGTGGCTGGAAGTCTGTGATCCCAAATTTTTCCCGATAGAAGTTCTGTGTGAACTTGTCACAATCATAGATTAAGAAGGTGCGTCCAAGGAGGGTGATGGTTTTGCCAATAGCAAAATCTATGGGTGAGTACCACTCAAGTACCTCCTCATTAGTGATCTCCAGCACACAGCTTGGGAAGCCCACTAAGGACAATGGAGCAAAAGGAAAAGTAAATTAATCAGGTAGATGTTAACATTTCTAAGTGAAAAGGAATATAAAAGCAAGCTGTATAAATAGCTCCAGGGAGCTGTTGGCACTGCTGTCCTGCTACTGTTTCCCAAAAGATAAAGAATTTAGTGATCACTTAAAGAACTTTGACTATAAAACAGTGACACTTGGAGTGTTCTCAGCCAAGTTTCTCCAGAGGCAGTGTATCTCTGGCACATGGACGTGTCCACCCACCAAGGCACTTTAGCCCAGACAGATGTGCCAATCTAAACCTACTTTTCTTTTCTGCGAGGGTTTTGGGCAAGCGCTGGCGTTTCATCAGGACTGGGAATGGGTCTCTCCCATCGTTTCTACTGTACACTTCCCGAACCTCCACTGTGTCATCTGCCAAGAAGTAATGGATGATGCAACGATGCTGGTCACCAAAAGGGTGGTTTGTGTCATCCCATATGGCGTAGAAGCGAAGGACCTGGGGTGGAGAAAAGAGAAGCAGACAATCACGGATCTGAATCATCTTTTGATGCCAAGAATTCAAACTGCTCACACTGAGATGCTCAAGAGTTCCCCAAGGTCCAGCTCCTGAAGAGGCAGCCCAATAGCCACCAAGGCTAAAATGACAGTAAACTGGAAGGTGTGGCCCAGCTTACATCCACATAGCAAAACTGCCTGTTCCAGTCAAAAAAGGTGGAACACATCCAAAATAGTATCTGGATACAATCCTGGTCTGTGCTAACCCATAGCTGATGGACAGGAGATGTTTGATTGATAGCTGGCCAGAGACAACATGCAGAACTTGGGTTGTATCCCAGCCCTGGTTCATTTTCTAGTATGGATGTAGTCCATAGGGTTCCTTAAACTGTTGCTACATGAAAAGAAGATCCAGAGGAGCAGGGAGGCCAGTGTTAGTCGGCTGTGTGCACAGGGAGAACTCAGTCAGAGCGAGTGGCGGTTTTGTTTGTCTGAAATTGCCTGCTCTGACACCTGGCATCAATGTTTTGGGGGAAGAGAAGAGTGGATGCAGCACAACCATTCGTAATAGAACTGCATCTGGATGCTAAATTCCAGAGGCAGGTGGCTTATCTCATCCCAACAGAAAGCAAGAGAGTAATGGATACTCTGCAATCTAAAAAGGAGCTGGCAAGAGTTTACAAGGCACAAAGCCCAGAAAAAACATAAAAGGTCTTGTTTTTCACTAAAGCCAAGAAAGGAGCAAATGTGGAGTCTCTTCAGCAGACTGAGGTGTTTTAGAATGATGGAGGTTGCAGACTTGGGTTTCAATGGCACATATAGTCTGTAATCACAGAATCATCTAGGCTGGAAAAAAACTCTTAGATCATGGAGTCCAACCTTTGACCAACCTTGACTTTGTCAACTAGATCATGGCACTAAGTGCCACATCCAATTGTTTCTTTAACACCTCCAGGGATGGTGACTCCACCATTTCCCTGGGCAGCCCCTTCCAATGTTTAACAGCCCTTACAATGAAGAAAATATTCCTGATGTCCAACCTGAACCTCCACTGGCACAGCTTGAGGCCGTTTCCTCTCATCCTGTCCCTTGTTTTCTGGGAGCAGAGCTCAACCTCCATCTGGCTCTACTGTTCTGTCAGGGAGTTGCAGAGGGTAAGAAGGACTCCCTGAGCCTCCTTTTCTCCAGGCTGAGCCACCCCAGCTCCCTCAGCTGCTCCTGGTGCTCCAGCCCCTTCCCCAGCTCCTTTCCCTTCCCTGGACATGCTCCAGCCTGAAGTGAGGGGCCCAGAACTGGACACGGGACTGGAGGTGCTTTATGAGTGGGTACTATGGGTAATTCCACAGTATGTGGGTAATCCCACAGTATGTGGGTAATCCCCAGCTCTCTCACCTTTGTGTCGTAGGTCAGGAACTGCCAGAGTGGGTCGGGACCTGCTGGCACAATGGGCTTTTGCACAGGCGTCCGGCGCTGTTCTATGTAAGGATCCGAAACCAATTGCTCTGGAGGGTTCAGTACAATTCCCTGGCTCTCCATGAACACCTAGGAAGGTCATCTGAGGTGTTAATGTGCCGTGAGTTCTGAAGGTAAGAGGTGACTAGAGATTACCGGTGGGCAGAGGTGAGGGAGGTCAGAATACTGCAAGGTCATTCCTCACAGAGAACTCTACTGCAATAGCAAGTACATCAGATGACAAAGATATTTGTTTAAGCTACTTCTTAGCTTTGCTTACCCTTTAATTAATCAGAGCAGTCCTGTCCTCAACATCCTAACTCAGATTTCACCAGAGTACAGTTTTCCTTGGCCTTAGGGTTTTAAATAGAGGATAACTGCCAGTTGGTCTCTTTTATGTAAATGAAAAAAGTTAAATGGGTGTTTAACACAGATGCAGTCAGCCTAAATTTGCAAGAGACTTAGGGCTGTGTCAGACAGTGGAAGTTAGTGTTACCCACACTAGGCCCACCAAGACCTCCCAGGCATGAAGATATGTGTCAGTGTTAGCTTCATTCCATCTTTCAGGAGTACTTTTCCCACAGAAAGAGTGCAATCTGCTTGTTTATGAAGGGCTTTCTTGCTTACCTTGGATGCATGAACAACCTCTAGGGTGTCACTTATGTACTCGCATCACTCACTCAAAACAACCTCTGAAGTCAATGGACTTGTTCCCTTTTTAGCCTTGGGAAGTGGCCCATGAAAATATTCAGCCCAGGAAACACCCATGCAAACTTCTCCAAGGGGGATGTGGGATCCCCCCGAAGACTCACAAGGCAGGTTCACACTTTCAGACTCACTATTTTCCGGTCTGGAGGGTGCAGGTTAATGATAAATAGACTGGTGGCCTGGAGATGTAGACCCATGTAAGCTCATTCCGTGTTTTTCATCAATATTAACATGAGGACCAGCTCTTCATTTGATGTGGGCTGACTTTAATAGTCCTCCAGTTTCAGCACAGCTGGTCCCACAGCCACATATACACCAATTATTACACATGTTTGGGAACATTCCTGGGCATTGAGGCCAACTGGCAAGGAAAAGCCTGGATCTAAACTCTCACAGCTTCCAGAACAGGTTGACTGCACGTAACTCACCTATTGAGAATGGTCCCTGGAGTATTCTAACTCCTGGCCTGGAAGAATAGTAGCTGAGCAGGACTGAGATTATCCTGGGGACAATCTAACAGGATACCAGTGTACTGGTAATTGTTATAACTTGTTATTGGATCATTATTATCTCATTTACTGGCACAGAAATAGCCAGAAATAGAAAAGCAGGCAGTGAGTAAGCTTTTAGAAAGGTCAGTTCATACCATGATTCCCAACCCACAGATCATGGCTTGGCTGTGGATGGGTGCAGAGTTATTGATTTTATTCCTTTCCCCTGCCCTTAACAGAGGAATATTAAATCAGAAAAGAGTTAGGATCCCTAATTTCCTTCTCATGTATGCACAATGTTTCTGCACACAGAGATGAATCGGAATTTGTACTGCAAGAAGTCCTGAGGACAAGAGGTGGATTCCCAGCAGTCCTGGGGCTAAAGTACCGAGCAGTTCACATGCCCTCAGCAAATATCATACATTGAACTCTGCATTGGCCTGAAGAAAGAAATCTACACAAAAAGCAAAATGAAAGACTGTGAGCTACAGATGCAAGCTGCTGGACTCTAACAGGTCTGTCCACCTGTAATTCCCAGGATTCTTTCTGTCAGTGTTCTCTCTTCCAGCAACCCACCTTGGTGAAGGAGTCGCAGTCGACTAAGCGGTACGTCCTGCCGTACATGGTGATGTTCGTGGCCAGATTCAGGTCCTTCCAGTGGTAATAATCCCCCTGGTCATTCTTGGGCACCCGGTGGCGTCTCATAAGTTTGCCCTGAATGAGCCCAGAGTTCTTCACCACAGGCTCTATGACACACATGCTGTCGTCTTCCAGGTAGTAGTAGATGCCCACTTGGCGGATCCGGTAATGCTCCTCTGCAGAGGTAAGAACTTCTTCCTTGAAATAGGCATCGAACTTCAAAACCTGCCCAAGGGACAACATAACAGAGGGAGAGAGAAAGAAACAATTTGAACACTGTGATTAGTCTATTAAGAGCAATAATTTATTTTTAATTTGCTCTGGCAGTGCAAAGTTACTGGATTGTGTTCTACAAAATCATCAAACACAACTGAGGCCAAATCTGTGAGCGATGGCAGAGGCACCATGAGGGCTTTTATCAAGACCTGCCTTTGACAAATTTGATGTGCATGGGACTGGTGTAAAAATACAACCTTTTCCCTACTCCTCCTTAATCACATGCTTTTTTCACTTTCTGCCAGGTGCTTGGCTGTTGACAGTAATTTACTTTACTGACATACGTTATTCTTTATTTGTCAGCTTTACAGCCCCTGATTTAGGGAAGAGATTTTAAAATCTGCATGGCTCATCATTTCAAGGCCGGGTCAGATGGGGCTCTGAGCAACCTGGTCTAGTGGAAGGTGTCCCTGCCCATGGCAGGAGGGTAGGAACAAGGGGATCTTTAAGTCCCTTCCAACCCAAACTATTCCACGATTGTATGATCTGAAGTCACATCTATTCAGCACTGACAGCAAAGCCTGATCTGTGCTGGGGAAGCAAGGAAATTAATCAGCCAGTCCCTGTGCTTGGCAGAAGTAGGAGGAGTATTCTCTCCAAGATCATTCAATGCCCCTAAGAGGATGTAGGTGGCCAATCAGGCCTTGCATACCCAGGCTACATCAGCACAGAGGCCTGGATAATGAAGGGATGATAAAGCCAGCAAGTTCCTACCAGTCAGCAAAGTGCCCCACAAGGGACCAGGATGCCCCCAGCAGCACTGGGGTCCCTGATGCTCCTCTGGCTTGAAGGAAGGGGCAGAGAAGGATCTGACAGAATAAACAGCAATGTATACATCACTCTGAAGGAACAGCCTCAGTAATTAACACGGCACATCTGTTCCCCAGCCTGTCTCACAGACAGGCTGAGGGTTGGCTGGCTCCAGACTGCTCCAGACTGCACTCCCTGGCAGTGTGTGGAGCCCTGCACGTGTCGAGCTCCGGGAGCCTTGCACAGAGCTCTGCAGCCACTGCTCTGTCCGTGGCTGCCAATTGCAGGACGGGACACTGAAGAATTTAAAATCAAGGATCAGCTCAGGACTGCCCCGAACAGACACAGAGCCACCTCCTAGTCCAATATGATCACCAGGATGTAACTCAGGAAGTACTAATGGCGCAGCACAGGCTGGGACACGCTGTGATGACCAATACAAGCATAAATAGATAGACCACAGTCAGACTATCAGAGTCCCCACTGCAGGCTGATGTTTCCAGTTAAAGCTCAGTTGCAATCTCAGTACAGTTTTGGAAACACAAAAAGCCAAGGCTGTGGCTTACAGAGCAAAAGTTATAAACTGGAGCTTTTCAGAGTTAATCAAAATCTCTTTTCCAACCCTGCTGGAAATGCTGGAGTATAACTTGCAGGGAATGTCTTACATCGTTTACGTATTATAATCCTCCTCTCTAGCAAAGAAAGCCTCTTTCAGTCTGGGGTTCAGCTGTCTCTGACTAAGGGCTGTGGCATCTGAAAACTGCTGCACACAGTCTTGTGAACCCTGGAGCCGAGTGTTTGTGTCTCCGAATTTGGCCAGTGATATTCCTGGAATAAGCTTCTTTATACCTGTTTGTCAAAAGCCACGTATGACGGCATGAAGGGTGGAGGTGGAGACTTCTTGGCTGGCCCGTAGGTCAGGGTGGGTCCCTTTGTGCATAAATCATCCAGCTGATCTTGAGAGAGCAGATTTGGGAAGATTGTCTCCCCGCCAATCCCCTCCCTTGGCAGCTGGGAAAAGGCATATCCATTTCTGAAGCCCAGTGTGTGGGACCGATGAAAAGATGTTCTCTGTGGAAAAAAATCCAGCTGTCAAAATACTGCATGAACTGAGTAGATACAGCTACTGAAAGCACAGAAAACCACTCTCTCTCCCCTACCCCCAGCATTTTATTATAAACTACTGCAGCAGCTATTTAAAATCAAATTTTACGCTTAGATCAAGGAGGCTGAAAAAACAGTAAGTGGCTGGATGTAAAAAGTATGAGAGTGGACTCAAATCCTAACACTCTCACAGATTCCCCAAGAACTGAAATCAATGAATTTCCCTATTGCCACCATACTCAGTGCCTAGAATGGGGTGTCAGCACTTTATGTGGTATTATATCACAAACCTTTTGTTCCCTACCCTGTTTTTCAGCAGTACAGGGCACCATGGGACCTCAGTTACTGCCTTATGGTGCTCCCTTGACTGTTGTGCACTCTCTGTGTATTCTGTTGTTATTTATTTTGTTAACCCTCTCCTGGGCATGATACAGGATTTTCTTTACTGGGCTAAATCTTGGTGTGTCATGCTCACAGAACTGCAATTATGAAACCTACTAAAGCACATTAGTTGTTTTATCACCTCTCTCCACAGTCACAGAATCACAGAACAGCTTGATTTGGAAGAGACTTTTAAAGGTCATCTGGTCCAACCCCCTGCCATGGGCAGGGACACCTTCCACTATCCCAGGTTGCTCCAAGCCCCGTCCAACCTGGCCTTGAACTTCCAGGGATAGCACAGCCACAGCTTCTCTGGGTAACCTGTACCCGTGTTTTACCACCCTCACTGCAAAAAACTTCTTCCTTACACCTAATCTAAATTGACTCTCTTTTAGCTTAAAACCATCATCCCTTGTCCTAGTGGTACAGGCCCTACTAAAAGGTTTGTCCTCATCTGTCTTGTGGACCCTTTAGGCACTGGAAGGGGCTCTAAGGTCTCCATGGAGCCTTCTTTTCTCCAGGTGAACACCCCCAGCTCTCGCAACCCGTCTCTAGAGCAGAGGGGCTCCAGCCCTCGGAGCAATTCTTTGGCCTCCTCTGGATTCTCTCCAGCAGCTCCAAGTCCTTCTGCTGTTGTTCCCCAGGGCTGGAGGCAGCTCTGCAGGTGGGGTCTCATCTGAGGGGGTAGAGGGGCAGAATCCCCCTCTCCCCTGCTGCCCATGCTGTGGGATGAGCCCAGGACATGGGGGGGTTTCTGGGCTAGGAGTGCCCATGCACCGGGGCAGGTCCAGCCTCCCACCCACCAGAATCCAAAGTCCTTCTCCCCAGACTCAATCAGAGCTGTGAGTAGGACTTGATCTCTGTCAGCCAGTCCTGCTCTTCACTACTGAAAAGTAGGTTCAGACCTGAGTGCCATCAAGCCATTCCACTTGCTGTAGAATTCACCACACCTGGTACATCACCTGCACTCCTGAAAGCCTGGCTGGTCCCACTGGGCTTTCAACACTTCATGCTCCAGAGAAAGCAGGAGAAATTATGAGTCTTTGACAATAAAACCTCTTGACTGTTGCCAAATAAAACAGAGTTGTATGCATTTCTAGTGCTGAAAGAACAAGTTTCAGCTCCTTTTCCAGCCCCAGACTTGCACTCAGTCCAACCTCAGGCATGTGAAACACTTCTTCTCCACCCCCTACCTCACCCCTCATGGTTAAGCCTCTAATCTTATTTATATCTTCAAGGCCCCACTTGAATTTCACATAATTCCTTGTTTTCTCTTTAACCTGCTACTACAGATCTTGCAATGGAGAGAGCAGTGAGGAAAACAGGTTCAGGTGAAAATAACAGTTGACTAAAGACACGTTAGCACAACATCTTACAAACTGCCACAGAACTGCCATTTCCTTCTGTTAAATACATCCAGAGGGAAAGCTGTGGGGAAAATATTCAAGGAAAACCAGGAAGTTTGTCTTTCATTTGAGCAATATCAGTGTTTGCCAGAAGTGCACAGGCTTTTAAGGGCCCACAGTTGCCTAAAAAAAAACACCTCATAGAGACACTAGGCTCCTGGAGTGGATAAGCTCTCCCAAGTGAGCCTTGGATGCCAGATAACATCTCACAGGATCAGGTGACTAATGGAAATTTAAAAGGGAAAACCCAGAATGTAAACTCCTAATCCCAGTAGCTGCCAGTCCCTATCTGAAGAAATTGCACTGAATTAAGTCCTACTTTTTGCCAAGTCTATAACACTTCACACAAACACCAGTCTCTCTCCCAGTGTCTGTGTTTCCCTGTCCCATGAGCACTAAGCAATAATAACACTGTTTATTTGATCACAGAGGTTTCCTTCAACACCTCTCAGCATTCATTGGAAAACAAGTGTTGTGATGCCCATTTTAGAGACTGGAAAATTGCAGATTTCCGAGACGTTATAAATGATCTCAGGGAAATAGTATTATTATCTGATAATAATTCTGAGATGACCTTTATTACTGCATGGTTATTTGTTATGAGTAAATGACTCCAGTAACTGTTGGAAAACTCAGTTGTCAAAGACTGAGGCCAGACTTGGAGCAAGCTGGTCTATGGAAAGTGTCCCTGCCCATGGCAGGGGGTTGGAATGAGATGATCTTTAAGGTCCCTTCCAACCCAAACCATTCCATGATTCTATGATAAGTAATTTTTATATATGAAGCTGAATGCAGCCAGGAATATTTCCCTGTCAGAGATGCTCTCCAAGGAGCCTGTAAATCCTTGGTGTGCCCAAACCAGGCATGAAATAACCCCCTTTTGGACATTTTGTGGGATGTTTTTGTGCATCCAAGAAGTAAATGGGAGTACTCAGGGAGTATTAGTTCTCTCATCTCAAGAGGACATTGGGAAGATTTGGGGTTATCAGGTCCTTAGTGTGTGGGTCACTGGGAATGGGGAAAAGGAGAGGTTGCCTCCTCATTTAGGTATCAAGTGCAGGGGATGAGGATGAGACTGTTTATTCCAGGGAATCTGGGAGCACCTCCTTGGGATGATCCTGGAGGCTGTGGTGGTATCAGTTCTGTGGTGGGATACCAGTTCTCTCATCAGGTTATCAGGTTCCAGACCTGGACTACCAAAGATTCAGTTCTCCAGGCAATACCAGGAGAGCATTTTTGAAAGTATCAGATGTTTGGAGGAGGGAGTTTCAGGAGGGTGTTGACTGACCAGGAGATTGGTGACTTTAGGGCATATCTGTCCCTTTAAGGGGGGTGGGTGGATGCAGGACACAGTAATATTGGGATGATTTGAGAGATTAATTCCTAGAGGAGGACTGCTTGAAGTTTGGACAGTGTGTGTTCTCCTGGGTATTTCCAGATGAGTGGGTATCAGGTGAATTTAAGGGTCCTGGTTCAGGGCAGTATCACAATGAGTTGAAGGTTCAAACACATTCCTTTGGGGAAACTGAGATGGTTCAGAGAAACAGCAGTTTTCCCGAGGGAATCAGGTTTCAAGACTGTAAAGTGAGTTTGGGGATTTCCCTTGGGGTATCACATGAACTGGTCAGAGAATTATTGGATGGATTCAGGGGGACTGGATTTCCATGGGGTGAGTTTGCAGACAGCAGTTCTGCAGTTATGGAAGAAGCTTTTGGAATCTCAAATGAGGCTGGTGTGTGTGTGTGTCCCTCCCCAAAGCTATCAGAACAAATTCAGGGTTATAAGATGGGTACGTGATGCAATGGATTCCTAGGGGACAAGATTAAAAGCACCAAGACCCCTGGAACACACCTGCAATTACAAGGGAGATTGGGAGAACTTAGGGAGTACCAGATCAGCTGTGAACGGGCTCAGGGAATACCAAGCGGGTTTAGAGCATTCGGGTCCCCCAGAAGTGAGTTCAGCAGGGATCTGTGGGCTTTGGGAAACACCAAGTTCCTTGGGGAGAGTTCAGTGGATATTAGGCCTGCTCGGGAGCATCAAATGAGGTTACAGGGCACCACTTTCCTTGAGGGCCACATCACAGGGTACCAGGGTCTGGTCAGTTTGAGGGATACCACGTTCTCAGGACATGGGTTCACACAACACCAAGTTGCCTCAGGGATATTTGGTGAATTCAGGAGGTACCAGGTCTTTCCAGGGAATTACAGGGTGGTCTGAGGAACAGGATGTTCCCTTGGCATGGGTTCAGGGGGTAACACGTCCCCTCTACTCTGCTCTTGTGAGACCCCACCTGCAGTGCTGCATCCAGCTCTGGGGCCCCTAGCACAAGGAGGATGTGGAGCTGCTGGAGTGAGTCCAGAGGAAGCCACAGAGATGCTCCAAGAGCTGGAGCCCCTCTGCTTTGGAGACAGGCTGGCACAGGTGGGGGTGTTCACCTGGAGAAGAGAAGGCTCCAGGGAGACCTTAGAGCCCCTTCTAGCGCCTAAACGTGCTCCAAGAGAGCCAGGGAGGGATTTTGGACAAGGACCTGGAAGGACAGGAAAAAGGAGAATGGGTTCCCACTGCCAGGGGGCAGGGTTAGATGGGATATTGGGAAGGAATTGTTGGCTGCGAGGGTGGTGAGGCCCTGGGGCAGGTTGTCCAGAGAAGCTGTGGCTGCTCCATCCCTGGAAGTGTCCAAGGCCAGGCTGAATGGGGCTTGGAGCAACCAAGTGGAAGGTGTCCCTGCCCATGCCAGGGGATTCGAACCAGGTGATCTTTGAGGTCCCTTCCAACCCCAACTATTCCATGATTCCATGAATATTAGTTGACTTCAGGGATACTAGGTGTCCAGGGGAATTAGGAGGGTCTGAGGCAGTACCACATTCCCAGGGGGTGTCTTCAGGGGCCATGAGGTCCCCCGACGAGTCTCGGGCGCCCCTGGTCGAGAGGAGTCCCTGGGACGGGGGAACGGCGGAGGGGACAGCGGGCGGGCGCGCTCACCGTGGGGTCCCTGACGGCACAGCCGGGGAGGAAGGGCAGACCCGGCCCCGGCCCCGGTCCCGGTCCCAGGGCCGGTACCGGTGCTGGTCCCGGTCCCGATCCTGATTCCAGTCCGGGTCCTAGTCCTGGTCCTAATTCCGTTCCCGATCCCGGTCCCGGCCCTGATCCCGTTGCCGGTCCCGCGCTCATGGCGGCGCTCCCGGCCCGGCCCCGCCGACGCGTCTCCACGGCAACCGCCGGGGCGCTCAGTGCGCATGCGCGGGCCCTTCCGCGCGCCTCACTCCGCGCCTGCGCAGTTAGCGCCACGGTCCGCGGGGCGGCGGTGGAGGGGTCGGACCGTCCTTACGCGGTACCGGGCGGGCGGTTCGGCCCCCGCAGTGTGGAAATAAGGACACAGAACGCGTTAATCCTCTTTTACTTGGGATTTTCCCCTCACCGCGTCCTCATAACCTCCCCACAGTCTCCTCACAGCCCCTCACACCCCCTTCAAAGTCCACTCATAGCCCCTCATAGCCCCCTCACATCCCACCTTATATCCCCCCAAAAGCCTCTCACATCCCCCTCACATCCCACTCACAGCCCCCCACGGCCCCCTCAAAGCCCCTCACAGACCCCACAGCCCCTCACAGGCCCTATATCCCATCAGAGCTTCTCACAGCCCCTCATAGGCCCCATATCCCCTCTCAGCCTCTCACAGCCTCTCACAGCCTCATAGCCCCCCACAGCCCCCCACAGCCCCCTCACATTGAAATATCTTGGACTCTAAAATGGGTGGTGGCATCCAGGCTACTTTTTTGGGAAGTTTTCCCTGCCCCGTGCAGTGGCCACGGTGAGGAGTAGCCATGGAGGGTCAAATCCATACCTAGAGTGCTTGAAACATTTTAACAGAAGCCGTCATGCTGGTTTATTATGTATATAGTAGGTATATGAGCTGTGCAATAGTGGGGGCTTAATATGTAGCACTGATATAATCCCTCTCTTTCAAACATGATTTTTATCTCTGAAGGAAGGGGCAAAAACAAGCAGCAGGGAGACCAGCAAGGAAAAGGTGGTTGTGCAAAAGCACTCCCAAATGCAAGAGAGAAAAGAGAGCTAAATCCATTACCATGGAAGAGCAAAGTTGCGTGTTGCCCAAAGAAGTTGTGGATTTCCCATCCCTGAAGTGTTCGAGGTCAGGTTGGATGTGGCTTGAGCAACCTGGTCTAGTGGAAGGTGTCCCTGCCCATGGCAGGGGGGTTGGAATGAGATGATCTTTAAGGTCACTTCCAACCCAAACCATTCCATGATTCTGTGATTCTATGGAAAAAAAAAAAAAAAAAAGAAGAGGTTTTTTGTGTGTCTTTCTCTTGTTCTCTTTATCAGCAGTACACAAGACGAGCCAGGCTGCGATCCAAGGGCAGGCAGCAGATCGAGGGTTTTGTAAGCAGAAGTTAAGCGGGGAGAAATGCAGCCAGACCGTCTGTCTGAGCACGGTGTGGGAGAGAGAAGAAAGCCAGCCGGTGGGAGATAAAGAATGAGGCTGATGAGCTTAGAAAGGAAAATAATGGATTGGAGGCCAAGCAGCGCTGGAAGGGTTGGATCTGGAAGACAGCAAAGCTGCTGGTGCGATGGCTGACTCAGAGGCAGGTGCTGGGACTGAGCATTTGCTCTGATTTTCTCATGATGCGATATCCAGGCAGTGTTTAGCAGGGAGCAAGGCCTTGCTCAGAGAAGAAAACTTGCCTTCGTGTGCCAGGGATCATCCCTGAGGAGAGTGACATCAAGTTTGTGACAAGGCTGTGTGTCACAGTGCCCCTGCACAGACTGTAATGATGATGGGCTGGGAGAGCTGGGGATGTTCAGCGTGGGGAAGAGAAGGCTCCAGGGAGACCTTAGAGCCCCTTCCAGTGCCTAAATAGGCTCCAAGAGAGCCAAAAAGGGATTATTTACAAGGGTATCTGGTGATAGGACAAGGGACAATGGTTTTAAACTGACAGAGGGCAGGTTTGAATTAGGTATCAGGAATAAATTCTTCACCTGTGAGGGTGGTGAGGCCCTGGCACAGGTTGCCCAGAGAAGCTGTGGCTGCCCCATTCATGAAAGTGTTCCAGGCCAGGTTGGACAGGGCTTGGAGCAACCTGGGATAGTGGAAGGTGTCCCTGCCCATGGCAGGGGCTTGGAACTAGATGAGCTCTAAGGTCTCTTCCAGCTCAAACCATTCTGTGATTCCATGAAAGGAAGCTTAAGGAAAACCATAGCAGAAGCTGGTATTTTCTTAGGAATAGTGACTGTAAAGCAGGAGAGGAGAAATGAGGAATAAAGAATTGAAGTGCAATTCAGAAGATCTGGATTCATCTTTGACAACTTCTGCACAGACAAATCTGAATTACCAATGTTAAGGTGGTAAGATGTTAGCTTCCTACATCCCTGCTGTCTACCCATGAAAGGGAAAAGGGATTCTTAATCAGGCTCTGCTTTCGTGGCACTGCAGGACACAGATGGAGACAACTCGCCCTCTGGTGGGTAAAAACACAACCATACAGAAGCCTTAGTCTGTGTGTTATATTTAAGAAATCCTTAAAAGTGTTGGTTAGTAGAAGGAAAAATATAAGATTTTTAGAGGTTTTGAGAACTGAAATTCACACAAGTGTACATCCTGGGGGATGAGGTATGAATGTGATCACACATGATCCTCCTGGACAAGGCTGGTAAGTTGAGGACCTGGAGCGATGTGACAGAAAGGGATCACAAAATCAACAATTTTCCACTGTGATGGAAAAATCCCTAAAACTGGGATCCCTAAATCTGGGAAGTCAGTGTGCTGAGGTGTCTCTCTGAAGTGTGTGTAAAGAACTCAGGCAGTGTGGGGACTGGGCATGGTGAATCAGAGCCATGTGTGCATCCGCGGGGCTGCTTTCTCGGGATCATAGGAAGATGTGGTGGAATGGCTCCCATGACCTGAGTGTTGCAATGGAGGGAGACAGACAGTCTTTTTAAGGGCACCAAGAAGGTGAGGAGGGGGAGTTGCCCTTTGGTGAGACAACAGCTGGAGTGCATGGAGTTTTGCCTGGATGAAGACAGCCTTGGCTGCAGTAACCATGAGATGGTGGAGTTCAGGATCCTGAGGGGAGGGAGGAGGGTAAAAAGCAAATTCACAGCTCTGGACTTCAGGAGAAGAATTTGGTCTCTGCTGAGATCTCCACCTGATTGGTAGAGTCCCATGGGATAAGGCTTGAGGAGGAGTCATCTCCTCCAAGCTCAGGAGCAGACCATTCCAACAAGCAGGAAGCCGGGCAAAAATGCCATCAGGCCTGCATGGATAAACAGGGAAAGCTCAAACACAGAAGCAGCACAGAGAAGGTGAAAGCAAGGACATGGATAGAAAGGAATCTGAGAGAGCAGAGATGAAGAAAGGCAAAGCCCAATTGGAATCTGTCCAGGGATGTCAAAGACAACCAGAAAGGTTTCTATAGGTGCATGGATGACAAAAGGGAGATTAGGGAAAATGTGGGCCCGTTACTCAGCAAGATGTGGGAGCTGGTTACACAGAACACAGAAAAGCCTTCTTCACCTCAGTATTTACTAACTAGCCTTCAGGAATCCCAGGTCCTTGAGACCAGTGGAAAAGGCTGGAGCAAGGAATACGTACCTCGGTAGAAGACCATCAGGTCAGGGAATATTTAAAGGATCTTATCAGTGTATATAAATCCCTGAAGCTCTGGAGGGTGCAGACAAGATGGAGCCAGGCTCTGTGTCAGGTCCCAGTGCCCAGGACCAAAGGCCACAGGCACACACTGGAACAGGAGGTTCCTCTGAACATCAGGAAACACTTTTTTACTCTGAGGGTGGCCAAGCGCGGGCACAAGTTGCCCAGAGAGGTGATGGTGTCTCCACCCTTGGAGATCTTCAAAATCCACCTGGACATGGACCTGGGCAGCCAGCTCTGGGTGGCCCTGCTTCAGCAGAGCCAGGTGACCCCCAGAGTCTCTTCCAAACTGAACCATTCCATGGCTGTGGGTGATGGAACTTAAATCCCTCTAATCAGTGTCAGGGCAGCCATTCTGCACTTCCCTTGTGGAAAGGTAATGAAATCCAATAGTTATCGTGAAACCTGGAAAGTGCTTTGCGATGCACAGATGAAACCACTCCCTATTGTTCATTATTATAATCATTATCCACTCTAATATATCCTCTCCATAATTATTATCACCTTTTCTTCCTAATGACTCATAACCTTCTGTAGTTGTGCATTTGGGAATTTCACACCACACAAATTGTTTTGCTTTCACAGATTTTTTTTTTTTCACTAAGGTTTTTAAATAAAGATCAGTACAGTACAAAGCTTAAAATATTGTCAATGTTTTCAACAATACAAAGTCAGCAGATGGGAGTTGGGAAGGGAATGGTTAATACGGAACACTCATACCCTTCCTTGTTTCCCAGAGGAAAAAAAAAATACAAACTCTTTTGTACTTCTGTTTAGTAACAAACAGTGCTTAAAAATAATCTTGTCAGTAAAAGTTGTAAATTGCAAGGCACACGAGGAACCTCTCCTTGCCTCGTTACACAAATTATTAGGCAAAAATACAAATTTAAGGCACCTGTCTCCATCCTCCCCTCTTCCTCCATACAGTGAAGAAATCCTGTCAGTGGGAAATAGCTGTTAAGAGCAACCATGGACCAGCAGACAGCAAAGGGGCTGCCCCTGATCCTCAGGTTCCTTCAGGATGAATCTCGAAAAAGAAACAGCATAAGGCACATTGGGATGAATTCTTGGGAGTTGTTCTGGTTGCAAGATCTGCAAGAATACTGTCTCAGGACAAGAGACACTGGGAGAGAGGATTAGAACCTTGGTCCCTTTGGCATCTCAGGTGTGCTCAACCTTTGGTGGTCAGCTCTTCACCAAAACCTGGCCACGGGTACATCCTTCCCGACCTTGCCTCCTGAGGAACACCAGAATGGAAGGAGACGTGCTCCGAGCATTGAGCCCAAGGAAAAGGCCTGAACAGCTCCCAGACAACTGAGTATTTATCATAGTGACACTTTTGCTCTGTCTGGATCCAGCCCTGGTCTCCTCTGGATCAATGGCAGGGCTTCCAGAGGGCATCCACAGCCACTTCCCAGTTGAGGCCCAGCAGACTGCACAGCATATGGAGCCTGCCCAGGTAGGCAGCCAGGTGTACAAGGCACAGGGATGAAGGAAAGAAATGAGCTGATTGGAGGGGGAGGAGGATGGAGACAGGGATGAAGGAAGCTCCAGTGT